TTTTGACTTTGTTGAAGTTTTTTTTTATTTCATGCTGTACATAAAAATACAACAACGGTATGGCAAAAACTGAAATAGTGCTCGACAAGAGTAGAATCTGCTCGATTTTGAACAAATTTTGCTTAAACTCAAAAACGAGGAAAATATGCTCACTAATATTGGAGCAACATTGAAAAATTGATTTTGCTCAATTTTTTTTTGCTTCCTTTCGAATTCGAGTGAGTTATTCTTAGATCTGGTTTTGATAGGCCTTGGAAAATGTTTTTTTTTTTTATAAAACTTGCTAAATATGCTGTCCTGAAACAAATAGTGTACTGCTGTTAGAAATCTCAAGGCCTCTGCGACGTCAGAACGACTTCACTGAGTCAACCTTGCCGGCTTCGGTGTCTCCAGAGGCGATATTTCCTTTTTTGTCTCTACTGAAGTCTACTGAGTGTGTGGATATCTATTTTCCGATCTAACCCCAAAGTACTCTTCGGATAAATATAATACGTCTATCAACGCCTACAAACCGAAGTATGAGTACCAATAGTTCAAACATATTTGGGAATGGTGAGATCTTGATAAGGACAGTAGCCTCTCTAAAGCTCTTGCCTATGGGACAGGCTCCCGGCTGATAGATACTAAAACAACTCCCCATGTAAGCCACGCTTAATTTGAATATAACCTTGCACCACATTGCAATGCTTTATCTTGCGGTCATAGGGACTCCTGACACCTGCAGTATTAGGCACTTCACCTCCTTTACATTGCGATGGGTATTAGTTTATAGAACAACTGAGGAGCTCGAAGTACATTGGTTTGTTTTAGCTATTCTCTTTGGACCCAATTGACTCAGCTGAAGCCCCGCATTCATTGCAGCTACTGGATTCTTCTGTTCGACTCGACTTCGATGGGGAGGGGTTGAACTCCCGATCTTCTGATTAATAGTGGGATACACCATGTACTTAGTTTCAGGGCATTGACCTGATCATAATAGACCGGATCTAGATTTTTGTTTCCAAATTTAAATACATTTTTAAATAATTTTCAAAATTTGAAACAGCAAATTCCTTGCAATTTTGAAATGTTTTTCATGCCACACAAATGAATGGCTTTACAATTCGTTCATAATTCAGCGATTCGAAGTACAACGAAATAAACGATGGAAAATAATTAAAACTAATTAAATTAGGAAACATGAGTTAACTATCCGAAACATTCGTAGCATTTAACACATCACTTATTTCGAAATATGTGAGCAGCATGTAATGGAGAGGTGGAAAGAGGGGAGGAGGGGAGTGGGCGACAGAATGGTGGGACGGCGCACAGGCCCTTGCTTTTTGACAACGTGAGCGCGTCAAGTGAATAAATGTGAGGATTGATGTATTGGTACGTTGGGGCTAGCTCGCTTCCAAATGGAAAGAGAAAGTTTTTTATTTTCATCATCGTCATAATATTCATCAAGTAAGTGTCTGCCTGACTGCCTGCCAGTCTTCTGTACGGAACCAGACACTAATGCCATTAGGCGTACGGGCGTACCATACAACCATGCCAGTGCTGCTGGCTGGTCGACCAGCCGTGTATTTCTGACTGGGCGTTTGGTGATTCATAAATCATTTGACACCATCCATTTTGAAAAGTAATGCACGCACATGCCACACACACATACACATACATACATATATTATATTTTGCAGCTTTACAATATATTTTACAAAAATCGAAATATAAAAACACAACCCATACCAATGTCATTTGTTGTTATGAGCTGCTGTAGTCAGATCTTAGAAGATGAAGAAGGATGCCATAGAATGCGTTCCAAACGAACTATATATCCACCGCAAAGAAAAGGAAACCAAAAAAGAAACGTTCAAGACTTCAAAAAATCGCATTACATACACTCGTGCGATACAACATTAGCCAGTAGTCTCGGTTAAGGTTTTAGTGTCCGCTTTCCTATGGCTGCATACAAGTTGGAGTCTCAGTCGCTCGCTCGCTCGCTTGGTTGCTTGCTGGTAGTAGTTTTGCCCCGAAACGTTTGCCACTGACCATGTCTCAGCATGCAAGTCATTCATCATGCTCGATGGACAGTTAAATGAAGACAAAGGGTGGTGGTGCGGGAGGGAGTTGGCGGGAGCATGATGGATGCAGCAGTGGCCGCAAGGAAGAACAAGAGGGGTATAGGAAATGAAAATGTCCATACATCATTGTTAGCAGCGAGAAAGGGAACAAACTCTCTCCTCCTTCGGTCGGTCGGTCGTATGGCTTTGGGGCAACTACCTTTCGGGTTATAAATTTTAATTTATCAAATACCTATCCAAAAGATATCCAGGAAATATGATTTACAATTTGGAAAGGATTTTTGTTTTAGTATGCGAGGACGTTTATAGCACCATGTATACCCAATAGGGATAAAAGGGTAAGGAAATAACTGACTGACCGAGAATCTTGGACTCTTGGTATCTTGAAATTTTGCACCACTATCAGTCTTGGTACTTAGACATGTGATAAGGCTGTGTTTTTTGAAAATTCGTACTAAAAGTATACAAAAAGTATTAAAGATTGAATGAAAATATTAGACAAACGGAATGAGCTAGAATTCTGAAATATGAAATGAGAATCACAGATTGGGTGCAAGATAGATAGATATATCAAAGGTTTTTTAGAAATTGGAACTTTAAGGTTACGAATGCTTCAAAAACCGAAACAGAACTAAAATTCTAAAATGGTACCATTTGGTATTATGTGAACGCATAGAGCTAAAAATTTGAAGTTTGTATGGGAATCAAGGTTGGAAAATGAGTTTGATATATGGAGGTGGTTTTGGAAATGTGTCTAAGTTGTACTAAATGGTACAAAATTTGGAACAGTTTGGTTTTCGGATGAAGCTGTAACTTTTGTACTGGGATCCCTGTTGGCGGTAGAAGTGTGGTTCTGGAAGTGCACAAAAAGTACTACATTTGGTACAATTTGTATTAGATAGTGAAGCCTGTTCATGTGAAGCCTGGACATATGGAGATAGTTTCAGAAATGTGTACTTTAATTGTACGAAGAGTACTAAATAGCACGAAAATTACTAAATAGTACGAAAAGTACTAAATAGTACGAAACGTACTAAATGGTACGAAATTTGGCATTGAGTGAAGGAATAAAGCTGAAATACTGAAATTTAATATTGACGTCTCTGTTGGCATCTGGAATTGATGAGATATGGAGGTGATTTTGGAAATGTGTACTATAATTGTACGAAAAGAACTAAATTTTATATTGGGTGAAGGGCTGGAATAAGAAATTTGATATAGATCTGTTGTAGGGCTGAAATACTGAAATTTGATATAGATATCACTGCTAATGTCGTTGGTTAAGATATTGAGGCGATTTTGGAAATGTGTACTATAATTGTTCGAAAAATACTAAGTGACACAAATTTTAGTATTGGGTGAAAGGGTAGATCTGGAATCCCGAATTTAGATATCGAGGTCTGTGTTGGTATCGAATGTTGGTTTTGGCAATGCATACTATAATTGTTCGAAAAGTACTAAATGGTACTAATTTTTTAATTGTTTAAGATATGCGAACCAAATGCTACTAAATTTTGGTTTTGGGTGAAGGAATAGAGCTGAAATACTGAAATTTGACGTTTCTTTTGACATCTGGAATCGATATATGGAGGTGATTTTGGAAATGTGTACAATAATTGTACGAAAAGTACTCAATTTGTATTGGGTGAAGTGATAGGGCTTAAATAATGAATACTGTTGGTGTCGTTGATGAAGGAATAGAGCTGAAATTTGATATTGACATCTCTGTTGGCATCTGGAGTCGAGATATGGAGGTGATTTTGGAAATGTGTACAATAATTGTACGAAAAGTACTCAATTTGTATTGGGTGAAGTGATAGGGCTTAAATAATGAATACTGTTGGTGTCGTTGGTTAAGATATTGAGGTGGTTTTTTGGATGTGGCCCCAAATTGGGTGGGGGGATAGATCTCGAGTACCGAAATTTGTTATTGAGGTCTCTGTTGGTATCTGGTGGCGGTTCTGCAAATGCGTTCTATAATTGTTCGAACAGTACTAAAGGGTACTAATTTTTTAATTGTTTTAGATATTCGAACTAAATGCTACTAAATTTGGTATTAAGTGAGGAGATAGAACTAAAATTCTGAAATTTGATATTGTTTTCAAGGGTTCACATATGGAGACGCTGAAATAGTTTTGGTCAGAAAAATTGGATGTGAGCCGCACATTGTTCAATGGTTTTACTAATATCCTCCTCTGCAAGATTCAAAATGAAATATTTCGAAGACTTTTTGTCTAAAAGGTAAAATTTTTCCTATTTTTCCTTTCCGAGAAAGAGACAACTTTAAAAATAAATAAAGCCTTGAAGGTCTGAAAATTTTAAAAAATTGTGTATTTTGAGTAATAAAAAGGCCTAACACAAATTGTTGGATGTATATTACATTACATTACATTACATTACATTACATATTGTATTGTATCTTAGCTTTATATGGCCTTTCTTGTCCCCCTTTCCGTATTTGTATACCACCCAATGAAAACTTTTTTAATATCGAACGACAAGCTTTCGACTTTAAACTGATTGAAAAAAGTAACAACAATTTTCAGTCCATCAAAAGCCACAATAGAAGGGGAAAATATACCACATCCTCCGCCATATTTTTGATTGAACACATGCTTAAAGATAGCGACACACTCATAAATATTATCTCATAGTCCTTTAGATAAGATAAGAAAACAATTCTGAGAAAACAACCTAATCAAATAAAATGAAGTGGTTTCTTATCACACATCAATAAATCAATTTCGCAGCTGGTCCCCCCCAAGACCAAGATAAGATTAGATGTCAAATAATTACTTTCTAGAAAAATACTGACTATAAAACGCTATTAAACAACCGAACATGAAGAATGGATTATATTTAATTATCTCGAATTCTTCAGACCGGTTACAACCCATTTCAACTACTTTTATTAACTATTCCTCTTTTTCCTTGCAGTCGGAATCCACCTCAAATTCAATATCATCGAATAATTCCAAACCGATTGCAACCAAATGTGTATTCTGTTCACAAACCCTGGGCATCAATGACCGACCCAAATTGCTCGAATGTTTACATGTCACCTGTGCCCAATGTATGAGCACAAAATTTTCCGAGCTGGATCGGACAATGCCACCATTAATACACTGTCCCATGTGTAATATGGCCTCACAGAATGAATTCATCATCGATAATCAGTTTCTGATCGAACACTGTACGGCTGGCGAAATGTTGAGCGATGCCAATGACTCGTCCGGTGGCAGCAAAGCATCGGCCAATATTCCCTGTAGCAGTTGTTCGGACAACAACATTGCCACATCGTGGTGTGTGGACTGCTCCGAATATATTTGTGATAGTTGTGTGCAAGCCCATCAGCGACTAAAGATCACCAAGGATCACACGATCAAACCCAAAGAGGAGGCTAACAGCGAACAATCGCCCAGTTCGGCCGTCGATAAACTACACATGTGCAACTTGCATCCGCAAGAGAAACTATCGCTGTACTGTGAAACCTGTGAGAAACTAACCTGCCGCGATTGTCAGCTATCCGATCATCGTGATCACAAGTACAAGTTTGCCCACGAGATAGCCACAGAGACTAGACAGTCCATAAATTCAATGGTTGCCGAAATCAACTATAAACGTTTCCTGCTCTCCTCGGCCATGCAAGTCATCGCCGAACGGCAAAAAGTCATATCGGACAAGAAGAAGGAGCTAATCAAAGAAATAACCGCCATGGTGGTGACCATAACCAACACGGTGAACATGCGGGGCAAGCAGTTGGTGATGCGTCTCAACGAGGTGTGTGACGGCAAGCTGAAGCTGCTTATCGACAAACGTGACTCGTTGATCTCGCTATCCGACAACACCGACTATTGCATTGAGTTCATCAACAATGTCTTGGACAAGGGCAGCGATTATGCCATATTGTCGAGCAAGAAATCGTTAGTGCGTCATTTGCAAAAGCTCAAGTGTCAGCGTGCCGATATACCCAATCCAGATATACCACTGCGTATCGATTTGCAAATGTGTCAAATACAACAACTACAAAAAGGTAAATACTCTTTAAATTCATGTCGATTATTCACTGAAATGTTATCCCAATCTTTGCAGAAATTTCCCGGCTTGGCAGCATACTGGTTGATGGCAAACCGTATCCACCACAGCCCTCACCGCCCCCACAACAAGTGCGACAACAGCCCAGCCCCAATATGGCACCACCCCTAAGGCCAGGTATGCCACCGGGTATGCCCTCGGGCCTATCACCGGGTGGCCCACCTCCGGGAGCATTTGGCGGTCCCCAAAATGGCCCTGGCCTGTATAGCAGTAGTTCACAGCAACAGCACGTTCATAATATGCAAATGAGCCGTAACTTTGCTGGAGAGGGGCCAGGTAAGGGTAGGCAAAAATCGTTCACAAAGACACGTTTTAGTATTTTTCCATTAAAAAAACGAAATAAATTGCTTTTTGCAACGGAGATAAAATAGTTCTTGGTTATATAATAATATTTGCATTATTTCTGTTTTCTTTATTTATTTGCATTTTAATTGGCAACAACAACTACAATAATAACAATAACGACAACAACAGTGCGTTATAGTGGAATGCCACCAACATTGGCAATGCAAAGACAAGGAGGACAACCCCATGTTAGTTCATCAACACATCCTCAAAATATGGGTAAGTTTGTGTACTGAAACAACAACAGCAACAAAAAAATAAATTATTCAAAATGAAGAAATGTTATATATTCTGCAGTTTTTTTGTGGATTTATCAATTTATATTATAATTATTATTAACATGATTTACCTTTTCTCCTCCATTGTAGACATCAGCCTTCGTGGCTTGCTAAATAATCAAGCTGCGCAAAGTCCCAACCAACCGCCTCACATGCAACCCTTCAATGGACCACCAAGTTATCCTGGTGGACCACAGGGAGCACCGTCACCGCATCAGCAAATGGGTCCACAAATGCGTCAGCATTTTATGGCAGGTCCACCGGGTCAACATCAGCAGAATTTTCCCCCCACGCCGCCTGGTGGACCAAGTAATCCGAATTTCATGAATAACAGTGCGGCTGCAGCAGCTGCCGCTCGATTTCAAACCTATCAACGTATGTCAAGTCATGCCCAGCAACAAGCGGCAGTGGCAGCCATGGCCTCCAGCGGACCAGTTGGCGGTCAAATACCCTCACCCGGACCCATGCAAAGGCCACAAATGCACCACTCACCCATGCAAAATGTAATATAAATATTTGGCGCATGAAGAGGACTAAATTTAATATTTTGTGTATTTTATTTTTGTAGAACATGGGGTTTCACGGCAACCAACCCAACTACAATCCCGGCCATCCCCAAACATCGCCCCAACTAAGTGGCAATAGTGGCGGTAGTTTACACATGGCCAAATGGCATATACCTCAATCCGCTCAAGGTAAGGAGATCATGTTCAATTTGTAAAAGCCATTTAATAAAATTGCCTTTCTTTAGCTTGTCCCCAACAAGGTCCTAATTTAATGGGGTTTGCCAACGGTCGCCAAAATGAAAATTTTAAAATATCTCTCAAATCACCAAATACTCTCAAGAATACAACGCCTCCCACATCGGCTAGTGGACCGGGCCATGGAATGCCGGGCGGCAGTAGTGGTTCAAGTTCGGGTGGCAATTCTCTCATAAATGCTGCATCATTGGGTTTAAGTCCAGCCGTTTCAATCCTGCCAAATGTAACATCCACAAATCCCAAGACACCAAGTCCAAGTACACATGAGGTGAGAAAAAACGAAAACTTTTGTCTTTTTTAAAAATTATTCATGATCATTGCTTTGTGTGTTGTAGAATCCTAAGGATTTCACCGAACCCATTGATAAAGTTCGTGATGATTCCATAAATGATTTGATGGCAACCATTGCTAAATTGGATTCAAATGGCGTGCAGGTACTACCAGAAGGACGTACAAAAACTACATCGCCTCAAGTCCACAGTTCAACCGATTTATCCAATACACAAGAAGGTATGTTTTCAGCGTATCCAACTTTTAATGCACTTTTACTTCCCGTTGGTTTAGTTTGATTATGCCCCTATCCAGTAACTCTCTCACACACACATATATACAAGTATTTTATGTTCCCTCCTCTTTAACTATCGACATTTTTGCTAAACTCTAAAAACACACCAGATTTCAATACAAAATACCCTGAGAAAACACAATCCCCCTTTTTTAGACAAATTTGTGTTTCTTAACGAAATCCAATAATAACTTTTTTCAAATAATTAACCAATTAAAGTAATAATTTTAGCTGCTGGTAGTTTTTTATAATTACTCGTAACTTTGCTTTGTTTATTTCTTTTCTCAAAATATATCAATAATAATCCAAATCATTAACCCCAAACGCTCATTGTTGTTTGACCAACCAAACCAAAATCTAATTCATGTTGCCATTAATTAAATGAAAATCAATATATAAATAAAATATAAAAAAATAAATATCTATGCAAACACATAACTAATCAAAAGTCCATAATAATAATACCAAAACTACCGAAAAAGATGATCCCAATGAGGATTGGTGTGCCGTTTGCTTGGATGGCGGCGAATTGATGTGCTGTGACAAGTGTCCCAAAGTTTTCCATCAGAATTGCCATATTCCTGCTATTTCCTCATTGCCGGACGAGAGTGAAAGCTGGCAATGTCTACTCTGTGTCAATCTCAAGGAGCTGGCCAGTAATCCGGAAAATCTGCAAAAGAATGCCGGTGAACTGAGCCGTTTGGAATTGCAGATACTGCAGCGTATATGCTTGGAGCTGTTTTGCCAATATGAACAAAGTTTACATTTCCGTGAGCCAGAGCCACCATCAAATACGGCATACTATGAAATTATATGCAAGTGAGTATATTATGAAATGTTGTGAAACTAATGTATTATTAATTATGCTTCTTTGTCTCTGTTTACAGTCCAATGTCACTGGATGTCATACGCACACGTCTGGATCCCTCAAGTCCCAATCATTATAAGGACATTGCTTCATTTATAGCAGATGTTCGCTTGATTTTTAAGAATACTTACCTATTCTATCAAGTGAGTAATATGGTAATGATGCTTCATTTTTTTTATTTTGTCTTACACATTCTCCTTTACATTTCCTCTCTGTCTATCGTTAATTAATTTAAATGATTCAAATACAGTCATGTCGATAAATCTGAAAGTTGTGTTTGAAAAGCTGCAGATTTGTTTTTAAATTTAAAAAGGGATACAAATTTGTTACAGTCCCAAGACTACCAAATATTTACCCATTTTATTCAAAGGTATATCACCATCACTTATTAATAAAAACTAGGTCTGTTCAATGGCGAAGGTCTTCAAATCCTATGTCTACTTTTTTTAAATAAAAAAGGGATAAAAATTTGATAGAGTCCCAAGACTGCCACCAATTTACCCAAATTATTGAAAGGTATATCACCATCACCATTAATAATTTTATGCTGTAGTTTTCATAAGTCTATTCAATGGCGAACGTCTTCAAAGCAGTTTGTTGCTGTTTTTTTATCTCACCCTGTATATATGGCAATAAATTTGAGGTTTAAATTGCCACCAAATGTAAATTGCAATATGTGGTTAGTTGGTAGTAAATATTACAAATTTCTCATCATAACTCATAATTTTTTTCTAAATGAAATGAAATTTCAACACAAGATTTTACTGCTAAACGAAATTCACCCTCATTTGATTCTCTTTGTAAACATTGTTTTCCGTTTCATTTCTTTAGACAACATAGAATTAAACGTAAGTTTTTTTAATTACATCACATCCCATTTTTTTTCTGCATTTCTAGGAGGACTCGAAGACCTATACAAATGCCAAATATTTGGAGAATTTCTTTGAAGAACAATTGCATAAATGGCTACCAAGTTATGCAAATAAAAATCACAATAACAACAATTCCAATGTATTGCTAACAAATCCCCTAACGAATGGAGGCGGCAGTAATGCTGCCTCAACATCAGCATCACCGGCGCCGGGAGCACCCTCCCCATCGCTTGACAACAGCGGACGTAAAAGTGTTAACTCTGCCATACTTAATATGAATACCAATAGCAATGGCAGCACCGCATCTTTACATCGTTCCGGTGATGATAACACCGATGATGGGTGCAATCCGGCGAAGAGAGCGCGTAAACAGACCGAATAGGGTAAGATCATTGAAGACAATCTAAATATATTCATGGAAATATTACAGAAAATATAGCATTACGCCCATTTGCAGCCGAATGCAAAATAACAGTAATTAATCTTGAAACAAAACAAACAAACACACACAATTACAAAACCCCTTCACAAAAAGATGTAGTGGAAATCGAAGCAGTTCTAAAGAACAAATAGCACAAAAAATGATAAGATTTTAAAACTATCAAAATGACTCGAAGTTGAGGAAATAAAAGATGTGCGATCGCTTAATAAGAAAACCTTCGACACTTTTAAATCTTAGGGAATAATTGTAACTCCCTTCTCATGAAATTAGAGAGAACTGATTTTAACAGAGAGAAAATACTACTTCCCATCTAACCGATCTGACAAACGTACTCTCATACAAAGACAAAAAGTTAAACTTAATTTTGAAAAAAAAAAAATAAAACCAAACATATTATAAACGATGTGTAAACTTCATCGCCTAAAATTGTATAAAAAAACCTCGTTTAATTCAAAGAACTAATGAACAAAAATTAATGAAGAAGAAAAAAAACACTATAACAATTTTTATATATTAATGTAAATACACTGAAGAAATGGAACAGAATAGGAGACCAGAAACTCCTGTTATCGTTTAATATTTATAAGAAAATACTACACACAAAACAAAACATAAATCATAATGAATTTTCTATTAGACATGCATACATATAACATTCTTTTGTAAGCAAAAAGAAAACAAATATATGCATATATTGCAAGTATTTACTGTATTCATTCAATTATAAGTTTATACATAAATACATTCAAAGTTCATTACAAGATTATTTTTTTTATTTGTGTATGTATCATTTGGGGGAGACCCTTTACATGATGTTTCATATTCTTTTCTATTATTTAAAGAAAAAATATTGTGATAGTTTTTATATTTATATTACAAAGCAAACACGATTTATAATAGTCGGTTCTTATTGAATTATTTTACCATTGTCAATTTTCGTTTTTCTTGAGGATGTTTCCCCACTAAAAAAAAAATAACCCAAAATGATTATTATTTTTTATCATCATCAATGTATACGGCTAAGGCTACTAGAAGACATTATTTTATAAGAATTTAAACAATTAAGTTTTGTTTTATGTTAGTTAGACGCACTATACAGAGGATAGTGTGGTGCATCGTGGGTTTGAAGCACAGAAATCTCATTTTATATTTCATTTCATTTTTTTATTTTGTTAGTGGAAATTTTGGATCCAAATGTTGTCTAACTCGCTCAAAGAGATTAATCAGATATTTTATTGATAACAAAGTGAAATGTTAGTAGATTTCTAATTCTTTACAAAATTGAAATACTTGAATTGATTAAAATGTGTTGGGCATTAAGATCATGTCGTGTAAATTTATGCATTCTTCAGAGTATTTTTACACTTATTCTTTGGAAAAAGTTTCACTGCTTTAAAAAGTGTCTATATTTATCTTTTTTTTTTTTTAATAATTTTGGACATGATAGAAAAATTAAGGCCTAAAGGAAAAAGAATTCTTTCATTATCAACGACTCCAACAGCATTAACAAATAACAAATTTAAAAAATACAAACCTTTATTTTATTTATTTTTTCTTTAAAAACACACACACGAACATTATAAACATATCTAATGAGCGCATTTCCTTCATGACCTTCACGCTAATTTCAATTCCATATTTTTTTTTCGTTCTTTATTAATATATACAAATACAAAATCAAGCTGAATGCAAAGCAAGAAATAATGATAACATAATCCAAAAATTAAAAAAGTATTGTTGTTGTGTAAAATATAAAATACATTTCAAGTAATAAAAAAAAAACAATTGTAGAGATTAACTAAGCTATGATAACAAAGCATTAGATTTTAGAGAAATATATTGTGAAAACATACAATATTACAACACACTCACACAGTTATATAAAATATAATTAAAAAAACCATTAAGTAATTATTAGTATGTTTTCAATTAGATTAGAAAGAAAAACTCTAATTCTATATTTTTCTTTCTTATAATAATTAGTATGTAGAATTTCCAATGTCTAATTGTATGTACTATATATAAATATTGAAGAAAAAAAAACAAAACCGAAATTAATTTAAGCTCACATCCTAAATAGAATAAACAATATATATATAATAAGCGGGAAGAAGTAAATAAAATCTAGGAATTTCAACAGAAGACAAGATGAAACTCAAAATCTGAAACTCATTAGTTTTAAAAACTAATTGGCAAGATGAAATTAAATATTTAACTATTAAATATAAATATATATGCATAACAATATCTTATAACAAAATCAATAAATAAACAAATATTAAAATTTCACTGAACACACAAGCAACACCACATTCGATTAAAATGGTAACTATAACCAACCATACCACAAGTAGTAGTACCATTCAGATTTAGCATAAATTAAGTCATTGACAAAACAAATGTAATGTTTTCTCCAAACATGACAAAATATGTTATTCAAAAATAAAACAAAATAATAATACTGATCACAATAAAGAAAATACTAACTCTACTATGTAAGGAGAAATCTTATGCAAGGAATCGTTAAAAAAGATTGCCACTGACGACAAGTATAAAACCAAACATTTTCCAACTCTTTTATGTTATTATTTAATAAAAACAGTGATTTAAACAAAAAATACCCTTAGATATACAATTTCGCCTAAAGTGTAAGTGCATAATATCTCCACCAACATTTTTTAATATTACCAACAACAAAAAAACACACACACCCATGTCATCTATCTTCCCTGCATCCACATTGTAGACATAATAATAATTTAGGTCCTCTATTACTCAGATTTCAACATCATCTATCGCCTAATACCATTTTGAATTTATAATTGTTTTTATTTTTTTTTTTTTATTATTAATATGGATATGATTTGTTTTATTATTACCACACACACACACGAAAAAAATACTGATTGATAAGTTTGTAAAATGTATTTCTTAATTTTATCTAAGCAAAACAAAAAAAAAGTAAATAATAAAGCAACAACAAAAATTACAAAAAATAAATAAATAAACAAAAAAATGCATATACATATTATCTTATAAATAAACTTCGTATTACATGTAATGAAACAATACAACTTGGTGTTTTATTTAGAACAAGCTCTTTGGGATTTAAAAGATGCACACGAATGCCAGAATTCAATGCCTTATAAGTAAGTTTTCATTGAGTTGTTCCTTTTTCGGTTCTATATTTAAATACAAACTGGACGAAATATATGAATTGAAACTGTTAGAACTATTTCAACACACAAATCAAACACACAAATGTACTGTAAGTAACGAATTAAGAATATGGGGCTTGCTCCCGGCCTCAACTGTTCATGCCACCTTACATCCGAAAAGTCTTTTTTTCTTGTATTGTAATGCCTTTTACAAACCGATTTGCCGTTTTTTACCGACAGCATCCAAAAAGGTATTAACTTTTATATTAAATTTATTATATTAAATTATTTTAAACACATACAATGTTTTATTAAAAGAACTGAACAATTATGGAATTATATATCTTCCGCAAAGTTTCACATTAAAAACCGCTTGTCAATTAATGTCTTCACAGAGACATTCTCCTTAACGAAACTCACAAAAATCATTTGCAATATCTGAAATGGTATTAAAGTATACATAGACATTAGTATTATGTTATAGAATTTAGATAACATACAAAATCTTGGTTACTAATCAAACCACTAAATTCGTTTTGCGTTTTAAAAACGGAATGGCACCGGAGGAATAAAAACAATTACGTCATTTCTAAGAAATGTAATATGTTGTATTATATGTATGTATTTTTAATTGGGTAATTGGAGAGGGAAAACGCAAAATTTTTAAAAAAAATATATCCTTCAAATTACATTCCATTTTAAACCCCCCCCCCACCTTGGAAAGGAGGGCATTTTAACTTTGTCATTTCGTTTGTAAAATCCCTAAATATTCGTCGTAGATCCCATAAAGTCTATATATTCATAATCAGCATAAAATTCTAAGTTGATTTAACGATGTGCGTCTGTTTGACGTAGAGCTTCAAAATTTGGTAGAACAATTTGTTGGTTGGTATCGAAAATACATCGCCACCTACATATCGTTTTGGTATAGTCCCCATATAACGGTTCATCCCGATATTCGGTAATTTGATTATTTTGCCACAATTTTCCCCGGATATGTCTAAAAATTGGTATTTGTAGGTCATAATGGATTCTAGCTCGTCTCTGGCGAAAAATTGTATGTATAGGTCCACGGTTTGGTATAGCCCACATATAATAGTACCTCCCCATATTCGCTTTTTTAAATATTTTTGCCACATTTTTCCAGGGATTTGTCCAACAATTTGTATTTGTAGTTCATAATGGGTTCTAGCTCCGGTGGCAGAACATTAAACCTATAGCGCACATATAATTATAACCACCGATATTCGGTATTTTGATAATCCTAATCACATTTATCCACGAAATTGTTTAAAATTTGGTATTTTAGAAGATTTGGTATATGACAAACCTTGAAGTATAAAATTGTCTATAGAGGTTCCCGCTTTGGTATGGCCCCCATATAACAGCCTAACCCAGTTTATGGTATTTGGAAAATTTTAGCATAATTATCCAAATGGTCTTACTGGCATTTGCAGTTTAAAGTGGGATAAGTTTTAATTCAGATACATTTATATAAAACTGTTTTGGTGGAGGATATTAAAAGTTTAACCCGGCCGAACTTAATGTTTTTTAAAAGGTTTTATTTAGCTCACCCCGTATGTTTTATTATTTATTTCTTATTCTTGGGTCAAATTTAGTAATTCAAATTTCACCATCTTCCTGACAACCGATTAATCTGAAATTTTGTATAAACTTTGGATTTTGGTGACAATACAATTATGTTTATTCATTATCATTATAAATCCAAAATGGCGGCACCTTCAAAATGGCGGATAACGTAGGTTTTATCAATCCCATCAATATGGGTATCAAATGAAAGGGCTCAACAAGCAGAATACAATATAATATAAAAAATTGAAATCCAAGATGGCGGCCGCTACCAAATTCCTGATAATAATTTTTTCTCAATTCCACCAATATGGGTATCAAATAAAAGGGCATGACAAGAAGAATACATTATACTACACAAGTCCAATATTTAAGATGGCGCAGCCACTAAATGGCGTATGCATATGTTTATAATTCCCACGACTGTATTTATTTTTTATTATTTTTTTGGTTTTTAGTACATTTATCTTAAACACTGCAATGTATGTTTAAAATAAAACCTTTTAACTTAAAAAGTTTTTTACCTATTTTTTACTTGTTATTTCTTGTATGTTAACTTACCTTATTAAACGAATAAATTACAATAGCAGCAGCCAACACAGAATGAAACATCAAATATACAGCCAAAAACAAGAGAAATTGCACCACAAATATTTGCAGTTCATTGCCATAGAGAAACATTTGACTAAACGACAGATTTTTGTCAATGTAGAAGGTGCCCTTTTCTAAAATCATAAAAAAAAGTCATTAAATAATATATTTAAAAATATAAATGTATGCATAATTGCTATCACTTACGATCTGTTAAATAATTATCCAATTCACAATTGAATAGACTTTCCACAAAAGTTTTTTCCTTAATAATATAATCCATGTCTTTAATACCCTGAAATAGTAACAGATATTTATTGATAAACACTTTACAAAAAATTTCAGCTCAATGTGCTGGGTGGAAGTTTATTTTCATTTTTGAAATGATAGCCCTCAATGATTATACTATGACCCCCAAAGGAATATTTCAACACAGGTCACGTTTTACCCTTAAATGTATAAAGAGATGGCATTATATCAATTATTGGTGTTATTGTAACTCATTTCTGAGACATATGACTTCAGTCAAATAGAAAGAGGAATAACTTGTAGAACATTTCGTTCTTATAAATTTTTATTTTTGATATTTTCTTAAATCAGACATTTGACACCCAAGTCCTCTGCAAAACCCTATAAGTAAATTTTATGCCAGGCCCTTGTAGGCGTTTTTTCTTTATTTCTTAAAAATCTATATTTTTAAGCACAAAATTCATTCATTCGAAAACTTGACATGGTCAAATTTTTACTTCTTTCAACGAGGGCCATCCTCCCCAAATACTATTATTGAGAATACTCACATGATCAATGAAAGCACAAAAGAAACGATTTACACTGCTAAATGCAATCGATGTTTTCTCCAGTGAACCTTCTATTGTATTCAATTCCTTGGGATAATTTGTAGAATTCCCTCCCACACCAGTATTGGCGGTAAACGAACGTTGATATGGCAGCAGTAATTTATCAAAATAATTATTTAAATTCTTCGGTGGCATTATAATATAACACTGATCGGTATCGCTGAGTAAACCACGGCGTCCACATAAACTTTGTGTTTCACGTTGTAATTGCATTATCATCGTGGTCATATCCGAGTCAGCAAAACCATGCGGGGAACGACCATGTATGTAATAGCCATAGGAAGGCTCCTTCAACACAAATACTGATATGTTAGCCAATGAACAATGTTCGGTGAATTTTTGCAAACTATTGCCAAAAATGTGTGGCAAAATCATTGGTTTGAGAAAATATTGTAGGATATAAACACCCGAATAGATGAGAGTGATATAGAATATCTCCAAGGTAATGTCATCTTGGGAATGATTGATCAAATTGGAAATCTAAAAAAGAGATTATTTTAATTTATTTTCTGAAGGAATTCCAGTTGTAGAATATTACCTTCACTATTGTATAGGTGGCTATGCCTTGCACCAATGTTGATGTCTTTTGTTTGCCGCTCAAATGCAACCATTCGTTGGCCAGGAATATGCTACGCCATGCTGAGACATTTGTCTCACTGATGTAGGTGCGCACACTTGAGCAAACGGAAGACGTTTCAAGATTGTTTTTCAAGTTGAAATGATTGGTATCACCACAACGTGGACGTTCCCAGTCAATAAAGAAGATGTTGAAATGTGATAAACGCCAAAAGTAAATGGCCACGAATATCAACTGTGGGGAAAATAAAGAACAATGGACTAATATGTTTTGGAAGCAAAATTGAATAGTATGTGTACCCACCTTTAGAACCAATGCAGCATAAACTATTACTTCCAAAGAGCGTTGGTCTTTGACAATGGGTACGGTTAGTTCCACTGTAGTTTGGTTTAAATAAGTCAGAGAGTTGATGATTACACAAAGAAGATAACACAACAAAAACACTAGTGCCATATAGGATATCAAATGTAAAAGAAATTCTGTAAAATATGCAAAGTGGCAAAAGTCTTCATTGTTCGGAGCCAGATATTGCCTTTTACGAATATTTCGGGCACGAATGAGGGCCGCAACCACAGCCAGCAGTAAAAGTATGGGCAAAATAATTTCATTTGCCAATTCACCATTACTACCGCCGGCTCCCTTCTCAATACGCCGATTGCTTATGATAAATTGAAATTTCAGTGGCATATCCAGTGTGGTATTGTTCGTGAATTCAATGTGGCGATATCTCAACTTTAATATGGGTATGGAAATACGATTGTCATCGTGTATGTCGTAATGTAACTCTAACTTTTCCACATAACGCAACGAACGATAGAGCAACAGTTTGTGAGCATCTTCATAGATGGCTGATATCTTTGATGTTATGGAACCATGACTTCTGTGAGTTTCAATCATTTGAAACCGTTTGACCAATTGCCAGTCTTCTTTTTGGGGGCGCTATAAAGACAGGCGATTTTAAACCCGATTATAATCCTTACTAAAATGATATTAGCATACTAAATAAGCTAAAAATATAGAGGTATGTGATGGAAACCGTTTCGACTAGTCTTTGCATAAATGGATTTAAATTTCGATTGCTTAATTCAAATCGATTCCATTTCCATTGCATAACTGTCAGAATTATAGAAGTGAAAGTGATTTGCGTTTAAGCTTACCTTATTTTCCAGAGTTATATCCTCAATCAATATTGGTATTGTATGCAACATCATTCTATGTGACTCATCAATGTTGGAATAATTTAAAAAGATGCTCATAAAACGTTGATTGCCAAACATTCTTGCCATGTCCAAAATGTGCTCCAAAGTTAGATCACATTCGATTTTATCATATTTTTGAGCAAATCTAATTGAATTTTCACTCAGTATCCAGGAGTTTTTATAAAAAGGGCACAAAAGTAAATCTTGAAATCGTAAAGGTCCCCATCTCTGTAGTGTACCATCGAGGGCATACGAAACAGTGAAAAAATTCAAACGATTATCCTGAAAAGGAAACAATAATGCATAGCCTTAATGAAATATTAAAACATTAAAATTGGATTGCTTGGGTTTTAGAAAGCATATATTTTTATTGTTGATTAGAAGAAATTAGGAGTTCATATATTGGGATATTTAAAAAAGTTCTTATTTTCAACATAAAAACGTTCATTTCTTAGTGGTGAAAGGAAAAGGAGGTCTATGCTTTTCATTAGTATTTTTGTAAGCTTTTTTATACCTTCCACCTTGAAATGGAGGATATATTAACTTTGTCATTCCGTTTGTAATATCGATATCGTTTCAGATAAAGTTCTCATATCACAGGTGTTAAGGTTTGCTTTACTCAAATCCCCAATCTAAAATACATTTGTCACAGAAAGCCCTGCTAAATATGCCGAATGGAAAGGCAATCATATGGACACCTTGTTATACCCCTGACAACTTACCTCACTTTTAGCGTCCAAACTAAAACGAATATCTCGAATTGGTTCCCTTAATTCCTTCGCAATTTCCTTGCCTTTGCGATAGTACAAAAATGGTTTGATTTGCAAATGGGCCATTTGCTCGTCAGCACTGCCATAGCGATAGACCACATCGGATGCTTGGGATAAAAGAAACTTACTACATGGTGAATTCTTGTCGAAGGAATAGAACGAAAGAATACACAAATTCGCCAATTGATTGCACGCCGTTTGATTGTTGAGAGCCATGCAAAAGAATGCCACAAATTTCAAATTTCCAAAATGTTGGGTACTGCTTGCTTGCCAAAATGAGTTGTAATTCAGATACGGTCTCAGCAGACCATTTGCTATGCAATAGCCTTGATATTGGAAATTATACTCCAAATCACATTTATCGCACAAGCCATCATATTGCCAATTTAAATTTGTAATTTCAATAGATTTTGAAAAATCTACAGCTGCTGAAGTTCGCGTACGATTAATGTATTTATATCGGCAATTGAGTTTTGGAAGCATTTCCTGATCCGTTTGGCAATATTGTGGGCTTAGTAGGGTGATATTCTTGGTGGGTTTTGTGCGCTGTGTGTTATTGCAAATATTTCCACAAGTTCTATACGCTTTGACCGTATCGTGAATTGTTGCAACAGTTGGCGAGAGATTTGACATGCTGCAGGAGCAGGAAAATTCTGAAACAAAATAAGAAAGACCACTTGTTTGTGAGCTGCATATGAATGTTAAATATGTCTGCATTTTACAAATTTTGAGGAGTGTGGGAAAAATACTTTCCCCTTAATATATTCTTTCTTGTCGCAAAAATAAAAGTTAAAATACAAAATATGTTTGGTTTATTAATTCTTTCGTTCCGTTTGTAAGACATCCAATAATATTTTAGACTCAAGAAAGTCAATATGCAGCTGAAAATTTTGAGCCGATTTAGCTATGTTTGTCCGCAGGGTATAAAACTACGATTTTGCTTCGGCTGTAGTAGGCATAGTCCCCCATCGACTGATTTGACGTTATTTGGTAATTTTTGTGAAAACAGAAATTCCAAAAATTGAATAAAAATTTCTCCATAACATGATTTAATTATTTTGAAGATTTTGAACACGTTTGTAAATAAGTTTTAACACAGCTTTAAAATTCCAAACACAAAAAATGGTAATCCATCAACTTTTAAAGAAAGTCCCCGTATAACAGTACTCCCCGATTTAAGTATTCTGACAATTTTCAACAGATTTGGCTAAAACGTAAAAATACTCAACTCCCCCCCATTGTTTCCCTCAAATTACGACATTGCATTTAAATATAATTTCCAATCCACACCCATCCCCTAATAACACAGCAACATTCGCTTCTAGCCATTAGAATATTACGCTTACACAACAATACTTACTATCGACGGATGGTTGCAAATTTTCACCCAACATCTTGCAGGGGACACAACGAAAATAATTCAAATCGTAAAATTCATTTTTAGCACAATATTTTACATCTTGGAAGGTGAATATGGTGGTTCGATTATATTGCTTATCACGATCATGGCAAACGACGAGACAATTCAAATTGAATACAAGTACCGTTACAATGGACACAAACGCAATATGGAAGCTCATTATTGTTTTTGAATATATTTATTTGATTAAAAACAAAAAAAAAAATATATGTAATGAAAATTATTATTTATTTTATTTTTGCCTTCTTGTGAAAGAGTTATTTTCTTTTGCACAACCGTTGTCCCTCAACTCCTTTTTATAACTGAATACTTTTTAGTGAAGGATTAAAACTATTTCCTTCAACAACAATACTAGCTGCGAGAATAACAACAACAACAAAAACGATATAAAAAATTCACCTTGCACGGTTTTGTACGAATCACGTTGTTTTTTTTTTTTTTTTTTGTCATACTACTCCCCAGACATATTTACATAAAATATAGACTGAAAACAAACGCATGTACCATTGTAATTGCAATTCCACAAATTGGTGTGATGGAAATTTGTAATGCTAATTTTTATTATTTAGGGGCCTGTCGAAGGACCCGTACTCGATAAACTAATCAAAAATTTCAAAAACATATTTGCACAGTGTTTTTTTTTTTTTTTTTTGCATTCACTTTCAATGTCTGGTGTATATAAATTACAGTTAATCCCTGTGTAGTTATTATTTACATCAAATTGCAACATAAGTAAGAGTATAATGAAGCTTTGGAGTATTTGTTTTAGAGTATTTCAGTATAAACATTAAAAACTTCCATGAAGGACGAGGGCTAAAAATTTAATCGGATGAAGTAACAATAAACGCTAGATCCTGCACTTGTATATATCCCCTGTCCTACCAAAACGACAGGTCTATTAAACAATTATCGGAGATAAAGTTATTAGAGATACTGTAACGCCTTTTAGGAACACCCTTTATGTTTGTTTTCAATATCGAAATTATTCATTGAAGTTACTATAGTTACAGACATTTTAGACATAAAACTAGCATGTCTAACCAACCACCACCCTTGAAGGAAGTTCTTATTGCCAAGTCCTTTGGCTAACACCAACCAAAAACACAAGTATCGAAAATTACATGTTGCGTGCAGTTAAGACCGAATGCCGGTATCCGGCGTCCTACTGCAATTGGTCTATTTTTATGTTCTTGCCAATTTCTACAGTGAAATGTTTTCATATAATTATGAAGGCAACCCAGTAATGAAATAAGGATCGAATTAGGTTCGCATCATTTTAAGTGAACAATAAAAATCAGTTGTAACAAAATTTCATATTTTTGTCGTTAATGGAAAACTTTTTACATATTAATATTCCCAAGCGTTGATGCATCTACCTATAACCTTCTACCATGGTTACAAGACTCTATCTCCAGAGTTGTGTTTTTTAATATTTAATCAACCATAAATGATAAAACAAAGTGATGCTCTGTTTCAGATCCTACAAGAATATTATACTTTGCATTTTTTTTTGCATATCATAAAAGAAAAATCGGCGATCGTCTCAACATTTCATGCAAGTTCTGGAACAGAGCAAAGTCTATACAAGATCGGTCAAAAATACTACGTTCACATGAAACAAATACAATTATGTCATATATATTGTTTAAAATCCCATAAAATATAAGAAACAAAAGCATAAAAAGATGAAATATGTTGATATGAATTATGAATTGTGGAAGCAAACAACGGCGTTCAAATTTCTATGAGCATAAACGATATTCGACACTCGATCATGCCGTGACCAAACACTGTTTTGTTAAAAGAAAATCTTGTTTTTAGAACCCTATAGACTGAATTTTTCGATCTTTAGAACTCTTTTGCAAACGCTGTTTTTGCTTTGATTTTCATCTTTATCACGCATTGAAACTTTTCCCTTTCTTCCAACTGTCGCGTGCGTTGTCCCATCAAAACAAACCCAACACACTACCAGATTACCAAAAAAAAAGAAAACATGTCGCGAAAGAAATGGAGTTCCCTGGACAAACCACCCTTATCAGAACCCGTGCTAGAGGTTATACAGGAAATGAAATTTGAACTTATGACTCCTGTACAGGTAAGTAGAAAAATAAATAAACCCTTCACAACTTATCATGTTGCTTTACCCCCCAATAGACAGCAACAATTCCTCTACTCTTAGCACGGAAAGATGTCTCTGCCGAGGCTGTGACAGGTTCAGGGAAAACTTTGGCATTTGTTGTACCACTTTTGGAAATGCTACAAAGGCGACACAGCGAAACACCTTGGCTACCCAAAGAAGTTGGGGCATTGATTATATCTCCAACCAGAGAATTGGCCATGCAAATATCAGAAGTGCTAGATCGTTTTCTGCAACATGAACAGTTAGCATATCTACGACAACAGTTGGTTGTTGGCGGCAATTCAATAGAAGATGATATCAAGTCGTTAATGGCCAATGGACCTAACATTTTGGTGTGTACACCAGGTCGCTTAGAAGACTTGTTTCAACGTAAAAGTAATCTGAATCTAGCGGCAAGGGTTAAGAGTTTGGCAAGTCTTTCCAACATTACACCATTTTCCAAGCAATAATAGTCAAATTTATTTACAGGAGTTACTGGTACTGGATGAAGCAGATCGTTTACTAGATTTGGGTTTCAAAGCCACCATTAACAATATTTTGGCTTATTTACCACGACAACGTCGTACTGGTCTCTTTTCCGCCACGCAAACCACTGAAGTCACAGATCTTATTAGAGCTGGTCTCCGTAATCCTGTTTTGGTTTCCGTAAAAGAAAAGTCGACCATCAACACACCAGTACGATTACAAAACTTTTACAAAATCGTTGAAGGAGATGAGAAATTCATTGAACTCTTACATTTTCTTAAGTCATCACGTGCCAAAAACAGTAAAATTATGATATTCTTCCCCACCTGTGCTTGCGTTGAATATTGGAACGAGGTAATGCCTCAATTTCTCAAAGAGCGCCTTATACTTGGGATTCACGGCAAAATGAAAAACAAACGCAAACAGGTCATCGAAAAGTTCCGCAAAGAAGAGAAAGCCGTTCTCTTATGTACAGATGTCTTGGCGCGTGGTCTAGATGTACCCGAAATTGATTGGGTAATACAATGGGATCCACCATCAAATGCCGCCAGTTTTGTACATAGAGTTGGCAGAACGGCACGTCAGGAGAACTATGGTAACGCTTTAGTGTTTTTACTGCCAAATGAGGATGCGTATGTCACGTTTTTGAAAATTAATCAGAAAGTCGAATTGACTCCCTTAGAGGACGAAAGTTGTAATAGAGATAGTCTACAAACTACTCTAAATAAATTACACAAAATGCAAGCTGCAGACAAGGGTCTTTACGATAAAGCTGTGAGAGCCTTTGTTTCACATATTCAGGCATACAGTAAACATGAGTGCAATGCAATTCTACGCTTAAAAGATGTCGATTTGGGCAAGGCTGCAACAGGCTATGGTTTGTTACAAATGCCGCGAATGCCAGAACTTAAAACTCTTAAAGCTGATAACTTCATTGGTCCGTCTTTTGAAGTAGACATCACAAAGTTGACATATAAAAATCCCCAAAAAGAAATGGCGAGATTAGAGAAAGTAAAAACATACGAAGAAACGGGACAATGGCCGGGCAAGAAAAAACACAAAAAAGCCACCGAATCGTGGGAATTAACCAAGAAAGCGAAAATGGATGCCAAAACCAAAAAAGAATTGCGAAAAGCTAAGAAACAACGCAAAAAGGCGGATGAAGCTGCTAATGGGCCGAAAGCCAAGAAACGCAAACCGCAGTATACTCAAGAGGATCTAGACGAGCTGGCAAATGATTTGCGTCTTTTTAAAAAATTAAAGAAAAATAAAATATCAGAGGAAGACTTTAATAAAGAAATGGGTTTAGAAGACGATTGAGGAAAAACTAATCATGTGTATATACATATTTGTATACCTCCATATAGGCATTAAGTTGTTAAAAAATAAACCTGCAAATTGGAACCTACGTAATTGCTAAAATTTAAGCTTTTATTTATTTATTTATTTATTCAAACTCATTTGTGTAATACAGGGCCTCTAAGACCATAAAATCATATTACATAGCTAGGATTATAGGATAATTTTAAATAAAATTGAAAATCGAAGTTTTTTCTTCTTCCAAATTTTTTAATCTGTTTCTATTTAAAAAAGTAGCTAGGCACAATTATTGAAGGGGTAAGTATATTTGACGTGTTTATTATCTATCTTAAAGAAGACATTTTAAGATTTTTGATACAGAAAAAACTCCATAATTCCCGTACAAATTGTGCATGACAATGTTAATTATAAAAAATGCAAACTTTAAATTTAAAAAATGTGTATATCTTTATTATATTTGGTTTAAGCCAAATTTTCTTTTAATATAAAAAATGGAAAAGAACTTGTGAAACGATGTAATAAAAACAGAAATTCATTGCAAAAAAAATGATGAAACCTATACTGAGCTTATGTTTATGTATGCGTCCTACTAACTCAAAATATATCTTAAGAATAACAAGTTTATTTTCGCCATCTTAGACTGCAGCTTCCTGAACGATCTGCAAAATTATGCGTCTCTTAGGATCATATGAGAAACCATTTTGTTTAAATATTTCTGATTCATAGAAAGGCTTCAAATTAAATATATCCAATTGTTTGGCACGTTCCATTAAATCGCGTTCCATAATTTCAACATGTGTAGCCGATGGACCATCCTTGCAGCGAATGTAGGCCAACTGATCCAATGTAAGTTGACGCAATATAAAGAATAACAATTCGGAATGGTCCTTCTGGAAGGCCAAATATTTTTGGAAAGTTGCGCGCATTTTCTTCATGACACTGAATTTTTGAGCTTCAATGAATGATTCCAACATCATACGTATGGCCATACTAACATCAGCCTCCGTGACAGTTTCTCGTAAGTGCATTCTAGCATGGGCCTCAGCCATACGAATTACGCTTTCGATGTGTCTTACTGTAATGGGAAGTGAGCCAGTGGCAAATGATTCCTGACGCAATTGGGAATACATTTTGGCAATTTTGTCTTCATCAATATTCTGCAAAGGGAAGAATGTATAAGTTATGTAAGTAAAACAATATCGCAATGCTTAATAGTTACCGAAATTTTTGGTCTAATATTCTCCTTGGAATAAACAATGTATTGTCTCAACAATTCCTGGGGAATTTCACTAACGTTGTTTGCTTGTGAATCTTCTATGTCCGCCTCACTTGATGGGTGGTGTTTGATATGTGAATTGACAACAAACTTGGCCAAGTGTTGATCTTGCATTGGATCAAATTCATCTTTGACCACACACAGAACATCAAAACGAGACAGAATTGGTTCTGATAAGTTGACATTTTCCGAAAATGTCATTGAGGGATCATAACGACCACCGATTGGATTAGCAGCAGCAATTACAGTACATCTAGCTTGTAGCGATGTTACTATACCAGCTTTGGATATAGAAATAGACTGTTGTTCCATAGCTTCGTGAATGGAAGTACGATCTTGATCGTTCATTTTGTCAAATTCATCAATAAGACAAACTCCCTGATCGGCCAATACCAATGCGCCAGCTTCCAGTGTCCACTCTTTTGATATGGGATTGCGTCTAACGTACGCAGTTAAACCAACAGCACTTGCACCTTGACCAGTTGTAAACACAGCTCGCGGTGCAATTTTTTCAGTATATTTCAAAAATTGTGATTTTGCTGTACCAGGATCACCGCAAATCAACAAGTTTATGTCTCCTCTAATCTTATGCTTCTCTCCAGGATTTTTAGCTTCTCCTCCAAACAAAGCCAGAGCCAAAGCTCTTTTAATGTATTCGTGGCCATAAATTGAAGGTGCCATTGAGGCTATGATACGATCTGCTATACGAGGATCTTTGCTCAATTTTTGAATAGTAGCAATATCTTCATCTGTCAACGACTGTACGACTTGCTTACAATCCTTAACTACAATGTGATTGGCAATTATAACAGTTGCAAACACAGGGAACCCTTGATCTGTATTCAAAGAACCATCATAGTTGTTTGTATATATGCCAGTTACTTCGAGCTCATCGCCTGGTTTACAAATATCACACAAATCTGCCAAAAGAATTACATCCTTGCTTCGGGGAATACGACCAGCAGGAATACGGCCAGGTGACTCCTGAAGTGTAATTTTTTGATAATTCCTGTACAGTGTTTGTTCCATGTTAATCTGTAAGAGAAAGTCAAATAAATTATTTAAGATATAAATGCCAACAAGTAATAATTACCGAAAATGGGCCTGTACTTTGACACTCTGGACACGAGCCGGGCTTAACTTCTGAATTCTGTGACTGCACAAATGGACCCAAAACATAACCACACTTGACACAGTCGTATTTAATAACTGACAATTGAGGCAAAACTCCAGTTGTTGCGGTAACAACTCCCAATGTTCTCACCAATTGATTCAAATGCAATTTGCGGAAAGTTCTCAACTCTTCAATTAAGGGCAGTTCTGAGATGCGGACATGAATTTCTGTTGTAACACGTTCATATGTTGGGAAAATAGACAACACCATATCTTTAGCAACTTTATCAAAGATTTCCAGCATTTGAAAGGGAGCTTCTGGCAAAAAGTAGGCCAACACATGTTCCTTGTTTGCCAAATCAGTATAAGACACAACAAACGATGATTTATTCTGCTCGCACATACGACGTATGCGATCACGATAGGTATAGGCACCTCGTTCATCAACAAAGGTACGCAGGAACGATTGGAAACGATTTGCAATTTCAGTTCGAGGCCCCAACATGCTAACCCATTCCTTAGTAGAATGACCTTTTGTATCTTCCAAATTTTCAATGGATTCAACCATTTCCGTATCTTCTACTTCGCCGGCGGCAGCCTTCTCCCCGGCTCTTCTCTTGGCCCTCGGACCAACATCATCATCGTCGTCGCTCTGATCAAAACCGAGATCGCGATCATCTCTGTGTATACCATTTGCGCGATCACGACGACGCATTTCAGCTTCGGCTGCCAAGCGCTCGCCCTGTGACATTTCGGAGTAATCCTCTTCATCATCCAACATTGCTGGATCATAGTGATCCAATTCTGGCATTGGACGATAATCGTTTTCCATGTTGTCACCGAACAATTCCTCTCCATCCTCTTCTTCCTCATCGCGTACGGTTTGATCACCCAAAATTTCATCCTCATTTTCAAAGGGCTCAAAATCTCCAACCGGAGATGTCATGGCAGCCCGCAAATCGCGTCTATCAGCGGCATCGCTTGGAGTAGCTGGTGGTGGCGAGCTTGGTAAATCCTTAACCCGAAAAAAAAAACAAGTCAACTTTATTTCAAAACATATAAAATACATTACTTACAGCCATCTTTACAGAATACTTTTTCACAATTTAACAAAAATAAACAAAACTTAACAATAACAATCTTTTTATTCCAAAAGTGTGTCGGTATTTGCCCGCAATCACCAAACGAATGACAATGAATGGGGAAACAGTTGAATGTTGCAAATTTGTTTGTTTATGCACAGCACGCGAATCAATTTTGGCGGGTAAACCATGGCTGTACACAGTGTTGATTACACAACAGGGTTGTATTGAAAAAGTATCGAAAGTAATGTACTAATTTGTAATAAATATATAAAAATAAAGCAATGATTGTAGCTATTATTAATTTTATTAAATCTCCTCGTCCGCCTACGGACGATCCATATGTATTAAAATAACAGGACTAATCACAATTTTTCACGATAAGGCGGTGATCAGAAAATTTATGCGAAGCCGAATGACCGCGTTGAGACTTCTGATGCGTTTAATATCATCGATAAAACAACAAACATAGGAAGACGAACAACGAACACTTCAATGCAGTTAAAAAAGGTAAAAGTATTTTAACCTATTAAGGGCTAAACAGAATGCGCGCGTTAAACCATTTTTATCATTAAATATAAAATACGCATGAAATGCTTCAACGCTTTCATTGTGTCTTGGCGTTAATGGGGTCCATGCGTGACACAATAAAACGCGCATCGCGTATTTTCTGCTAAGCACCTTAAATGTATTCTAATTTTTTGGGGGGATCAATGCATATTATGGAATAACGCACGGGAAAAACGCAACGCATTCCTTTTGTGCTCTCTTTTATGTGCCGATCATGTTCCGTGTTGCCTCAGCATGGTTTGGCATCATATTTCATGTGTTCATGTAGTATTTTCTGCTAAGCACCTTAAATGTATTCTAATTTTTTGGGGGGATCAATGCATATTATGGAATAACGCACGGGAAAAACGCAACGTATTCCTTTTGTGCTCTCTTTTATGTGCCGATCATGTTCCGTGTTGCCTCAGCATGGTTTGGCATCATATTTCATGTGTTCATGTAGTTATTGTTTTATTATATTGAAACATAGCTCGACATTCAGTAGAGCTATTTTGTAGAGGCCCTAACATGTTTTTATCCATGAAAATTCTTTCAAAAAAATCTTATTACAGCTGCCCATTAGTGACAGAATAATGTGGCTAAGATGCAGAAGGATAAGTAGTGGCCACAACAGTAACCATAGGAAATAAAAATGGAGGCAACAAATTGGACGATTTTCATCTCTGCTTCTGTGCCTAACTAACATTAAATTATTTGAGTCAATTTTCCCAACTTTGTGAACACCAATAGGCCCAAAACTTCTGTGAATTGGTGAAAAACAATAAAAAAAGAAGAACATATTCAAGGAAGTTTCAAAAAGCGATCGCTCAGAAATGAGGACGATAGAAACTTGTCCCCAATTCGAGTAGTACCTAAAATAAAATGTTTCACCTGGGAGAAAGTGTTTAACTCGCAGCCAAATTTATTTCTGAAATTATCAATACTAATAGTCTGTGTTTCCCTCTGTAGACATATTTCTGACTAGCATTAATAATATAATTTAATTTTCCTTATATATTTTAGTAAATACATTGTTAACGACAACAAATTTATTCATAAAAATTAACTTAATATAACATCCATGTTTCATTTTTATTTATTGTTTGGAGAAGCCGGTTTTCGTTTTACGATTCAGGAATTTGTACAAATACAAGATACGTTTCTCCATTTGACGCCATTTAGTGGGCCGAGCAGTGGGAGCAACGGTCCTCGATAGAATCTTACGTTTTCGCAATAGTACTTGATATTCGTTGCCCGACACACCACGCAACCAGGATGGGACAGAATACAAAACCTTGGTGGGATGCAGGCGATCATTACCCAGTATGTCGATATAATCATTTTGGCCAAAAAGCGCACGTTTTGTGGTCCAGGGATTTTTGGGTCGATACACAGGCATTGGTAACTTCTGACCATTGTCTAAGTGTGGCAATAGTCCGCCTTGCAAAATATGATCTTTATAGCCATAACGACGCACTAATGGTCCTCGTGCTCTTTTCTCCTCCCAAGAAAGCTGACGACTAGAAACAATCGTGGTACCGTTGATAAGTGGCGTTGCAGTTGTTTTTATCAATGAACTTGAGACTTGACAGATCCTGTTGAACGTCGCCTTTACACCATTGGTTAACAGGGACATTATTAGCGGAGAATTAATGGATTAATTGCGAGTACAATTTAGAAAAATTAGGTAATTCCACTGTTTTTCTTCACTCCCGTCGGCACCATACGCACTAATTTAAGTCACAATAGTCAGAAGAAATCACAATAGCCACAAACCTTGTGTGTTAACATTCACGTTGAATGCCAATAGGGTTGTCATGTGTGGCGATTTCTCGCTAAACTTGGCCATTTTTCAATTCGTGCTCTATACGAATTGAGACGATAGTTTGAATGACTGCTTGTTGGTATCCTCACGATAACACCCAAACAGGTGCTGCAACGAAGGTATGGGGTAATGCTGACGTACGGGAAGGACCTTCGCCTCCTAATGTAGATGATCCACTGGTGTCATGAGGATACACCCCGTCGCAGTTCTCAGGGCAGCATTCTGGCAGGTCTGGATATTCTTCCAATGCGTAGCACTTATATTCGCAGACCACACTGGGGCCGCATAATTGACCAAAGACAGACCTCTCGCGTTATAAGAGTTCAAACAAGGTCTCCTTGTGCGAACTCCAAGTGCTGCCGGCCAGCGCTACTTTTCATCATGTCACATCACGTGAGTCTGATATTTTAGTTTTTATATTCTTCCTTAACCTTTATAAAATGAATCCTTTAAAATTGAAAATATTTGGTAGGAAATGAATCGTAACTTCTTGCCAACTGTACGCTCATTTTTCCAAAGATGAAGAAAATACAAAATTTTAATTTGACATTGCATGAGATTACCTTGTTTATTGTGCCTTAATAATAGATATACATTATTTAAAAAAGCTAAATGCGTTCGAATATTTTCGTTTTGGCGATTTCTGACACACGATTTGGCGATGACGGTAGAAAAAAGTCTGACAACCCTGCCAATATTAATGAAATAAGAAGAAGCACATTTAACAATTACTTTGCATGGCGCAATATGAAATGTTAACATTTGCTGAATATTTATTTATTTATTGTTCTGTGATTTCAATCACAATTATGCATTTTGACATTAAAATTGGTAGTCAGCTGGCTTGGATGGGTCACTGCCTAAAACATTATTGTGCATTGAAATTCTAAGCAAGTCGAATCACAATAGAAAGTTTATTGTCAAATTTATGTCAAAAGGCATTGTGTCGTGTCGTATTTATAGGAATTCAATAAATTTCTAGTATCAAAGGCGAAGTGAAATGAAATTACGATTTAATTCATTCGATATAGTATGTGGTGTTACGGAGCTCCAATGTCTGGTTGGACTCCGGGTCAACCAAATCTATGACATCGACAACAAAACTTTTCTGATTCGTTTTCAAGGTGGCGGAGAAACTAAAAAGGTGCTTCTTCTGGAATCTGGTATACGCTTTCATACAACATCCTTTGAATGGCCAAAGAACATGGCTCCTTCTGGATTCAGTATGAAATTGCGAAAGCATTTGAAGAACAAACGTTTGGAACAGTTTTCCCAGGTTGGCACGGATCGTATTGTAGACTTGGTATTCGGTACGGGAGAAGCTTCTTATCATATTATATTGGAACTCTACGATCGGGGCAATATAATATTGACTGACCATGAAATGAAAATTTTGTACATTTTGCGTTCTCATCAAGAAGGAGAAGAACGTTTTGCCATACGCGAAATATATCCCATTGGTCGAGCTAAAAAAGAAAATCCCATACCCAGCAGCGAGGAATTGAAGGAAATGATTTCCTCTTCGGCACCATGTCATAACTTGAAGAATATGGTAATGTCCATCATAGAGTGTGGACCTGCGTTAGCAGATCATATTTTGATGAAACACCAATTGGATAATTGTTCTATTGGCAGTTTCGATAGTAAAGTCGAAGGAAGTGAGGACCATCAAAAAAAGGGGAAGAAAAATAAAAACAAGCGTGAAGTTGCAAAACAAGCTAATAGCAAACCGTTTGACATGGAAAATGACTTGCCAAGATTTATTGATGCTCTTGGAGAGGGGTATGAACTAATGCAAACCGCCCGACAAACTGTAAGTAAAGGGTATATTGTGCAAAGAAAAGTGGAAAAACCTACAACGGAAGAGGGAGCCCAAGTAGAGCATTTCTATCAAAACATTGAATACCATCCTTTGCCATTGTGTCAGTACGAAGGTGAACCTATGGCCACATTTGATACCTTCATGTTGGCCGTCGATGAGTTCTATTCAACACTAGAAGGACAGAAAATTGATATGAAGACCTTGCAACAGGAGAAAGATGCTCTGAAAAAGTTATCAAACGTCAAATTGGATCACGCCCAACGGTTGGAAAATTTGGCAAAAGCCCAAGAAGTTGATAAGCAAAAGGCAGAATTAATTACCGCAAACCAGGTTCTGGTAGACAATGCTATATTGGCAATCCGTTCAGCTATTGCGAATCAAATGTCTTGGCCTGATATACACGAGTTAGTAAAAGCCGCCCAAGCAAGTGATCCAACTGCGGCATCAATCAAACAATTAAAACTTGAAATCAATCACATCACTTTGAAACTAAGTGACCCTTATGGAACCGGTGAGGATGACGATGAAAATTCAATGCCAACCTTGTTAGTGGATGTTGATTTAGCCTTGTCAGCCTGGGCGAATGCGCGAAAATACTATGACCTGAAAAGGACAGCAGCCGAGAAAGAGAAGAAAACCATTGATGCCTCACAAAAAGCCTTAAAGTCAGCCGAAAGAAAAACTCAACAAACGCTAAAAGATGTCCGAACCATCTCTACAATTTCGAAAGCCCGTAAAGTATATTGGTTTGAAAAATTCTATTGGTTTATAAGTTCAGAGAATTATTTGGTAATTGGTGGCAGGGATGCCCAGCAAAACGAACTTATTGTCAAAAGATATATGCGTCCCACTGACATTTATGTACATGCGGAGATTCAGGGTGCATCAAGTGTTGTCGTCCGCAATCCAAGCGGTGGTGATATTCCCCCCAAAACACTCATAGAAGCTGGCACTATGGCTATTTCATATAGTGTTGCTTGGGATGCTAAGGTTGTAACGAATGCGTATTGGGTACGTAGCGACCAAGTCAGCAAGACTGCACCTACAGGCGAGTACCTTGGAACTGGTAGCTTCATGATACGTGGCAAGAAAAATTTCTTGCCTTCCTGTCATCTTATAATGGGACTGACGTTGCTATTCAAGTTGGAAGATAGCTTTATTGAAAAACATCGCGGCGAGCGAAAAGTTCGTACCTTCGAGGAAGAACGGGAACAAGCGGAGCACCATATTACGACAGAAAATGAAAAACTCGAGGATGTGGAGGAGGTCGAAATAGAACTTGAGGAGGAAGATGAAAGCTCACATTCAGAATTTCCAGATATTCAAGTAAAGGTTGAACATGACACAGGATGTATAACAATAAATAAGGAAGAAAAATTAAACATGATTGAGGAGAAAAATAGAAAAGAACAAGTTGACTCCAATGATCAACAAAAGGATTTGGGGGAGGAAGAGGAGGCTACAATTATTGCGGCTGCGCCATCGCGTAAAAAACAACAAATGAATGCTAAGAAACGCAAGGAAGAAAAGGAACGAAAAACGCAGCAACAACAGATCCAAACGCAGATTTCAGAGGCTCCAGATGCCCGAAGCAATCAGGCTAAACGCGGTCAAAAGGGAAAACTTAAGAAGATCAAATCCAAATATAAGGATCAGGATGAAGAAGAACGTCAACTGCGAATGGAGATCCTTAAATCGGCAGGCAAGAAAACAACTGCCCCCACATCCGATCCTAAATTGGAGGAATGTGCTATTGCTTTGAAAAATGCTAAACCCAAGCAACAGCAAAACTTTGAAGCGAAAGCCACGCAAGACAACAACAACGACGATGATGATGGCGATGATAAAAATACGGGTGCTGATGTTGATATGATTGATTCGTTGACGGGACAGCCGTTTGAGGATGATGAGTTACTATTCGTTATACCTATGATTGCTCCCTACCAATCCATACAAAATTATAAATACAAAGTAAAACTTACACCCGGTACTGGAAAGCGTGGTCGTGCCGCTAAGACCGCTCTAACCATGTTCGGTAAGGATAAAATGTGCACCAATCGTGAAAAGGATTTACTTAAGAGCATTAAAGAAGAAGCTTTAGCACGCAATATACCAGGAAAAGTTAAACTATCTGCACCACAATTACAAAAGTTCAAGAAATGAAATCAAATTTCAATTGTTATGAATGTAAATAAAGGACTGTAAATAAAAAATTGTTGTTTTCTTTGTTTACTTCATAATTTGCTGTTTTATTGCAATTCAGCATTGTTTTAGTTAGGTTTTTTTAATTCTTGATAATGGAAACTCAACATTAAATTAAGGTGAGTACATAAGTAACATCCAAAACTAGTAGATTCTAACAGGTTCTGAAACAGACCAATTGTTAATGATTTTCCTATGTTTGGCGAAGTAGCAACAAAATATATCAGTTGTGAATTACCAGCAGTATCTTCATGCCGGATTGGGATAAGTAATTAAAATATTTGAGAACGAACATTGCGCTTTAATTTTTCCAGATGAGTTTCTTTTATACATTATACTAGTTTATGAACACTGGTCAGTTCCAGAACTGTAAGAATGTAAAAGTTTTTTCCTACGATAACAGGTTATCCCTTTATGATATCGAAAAATAGTAGATTCTTGCAAATTTTAAAACAACAAGAACTGTTGCAGGCGGCAACAATTCAATTCTTAAAAAAACACCCGAAATGTTTTTATTACTATCTGGTCAAGTGGAATTTAAACAGACGTGTTTGAAACTGTAGTAATTTTTTGACTTAATAAGATTTTTATCAAGTTCGATCTAAGTGGGGCTTAAATTTGCTTAAGTAATTTAGAGAAAGATTACGTTCTAAACATTCCGTATGAACATAGTATAAAGTTAAGGGATATGTTGGCCGGTGTTTGGCCTTTGTATTTTTTGTATATAGAGTTGTTTATTTAATGTTGGAATTAATGGATTTGCTTTCAATCAATTCTTTAATCAGTTTCTGCAGATTTAGTTGAACAATTTGGTAGTTTTTATTATTAAAAAATGCTATTAATTTCTGATAGGAATATCGGAGGAAAATCGGCCTACACATCCCTATTAACGCTCTCCCCTCCACTTGCTTTACTAGGAAAGATAAGGAAGCTCTGACACATTCGAACATATTCAGATTTTTAGGATGGCACCTCCAGCGGCCAGGCAAAGATACAATGCCAATAAACAGGAAAACTCAGTGTCAAGGAAACCCCAAAAGAAGCTGCCAAATGCAGCAGTAGTCAAAAAAGAAAATAAAAAGACGAGGTAAGGAAGGCTAATACATCTTCATAACCGGCTTTATAGTCATCTTAATTACTGCAATAATTATATTTATTTTTAATAAAATTAGCACATTGAAGAAGTCATCCGTTAGTGAAAACATATCCGCATCGGATAAATCTAATGTGGTTCCGTCTGTGGCATTTAAGACTTTTGTCAGTGCTCGTTTATGCAGTGCCATCTGGGCTTACATCTCAGACTGTGATGAGACATACAACTATTGGGAACCCTTAAATTACATTATAAATGGCTATGGTTTGCAGACATGGGAATACAGCCCACAGTTTGCTTTGCGTTCGTATACGTACTTATTGCTGCAGGGAGTACCGGGATGGATTTATCAGAAGATTTTTCATCCTAGCCCGGTGCTTATATTTTACATGATACGTTGCATGTTGGGTTTTGGTTGTGCAGTTATGGAGCGGTTTATGTACAAGTAAGTAACTCATGGATGAAGTTTTAGGTGCAAACATCTAACTAGATTTTATTTGCAGATCCATTTGTCAGGAATTTGGTATTCATATTGGTCGCCTTTGGCTTATCTTCCAACTGTTTAGTGTTGGTATGTTTATATCTAGTACAGCACTATTGCCTTCGTCATTTGCCATGTACTTTGGCTGCTCGGCATTGGCGGCGTGGTGGACTAAAAAATATCCTCTTGCAATATTTTTTGTGGCAATCGCTGCCCTTTTGGGCTGGCCATTCTCAGCAATTATAGGCCTTCCCATTGCTTTGGATATGTTAGTGCGCAAACGTATGTTCCGCACTTTCTTCTTATGGGCTGGCATCTCGTTCGTAACCATTGCTATTCCCATGATTGTGATTGACTCGTCATACTTTGGAAAAATAACATTCGCACCTCTGAATATTGTTCTGTATAATGTGTTCACCAGCCATGGGCCAAATATATTTGGGACCGAGCCTCTAAGTTACTATTTGATTAATGGATTTTTAAATTTCAACATAGTCTGGGTAAGGGTAAACATTTCTCAGATTGGTATTGTTGTATGTTATAATTTTGTATTTTCAGATTCTTGCGTTAATTACTCCAATAATGTTGATAATCGATTACTTTGTAGTGCCAGCCAAATCAAGTTCTACTCTCAATTTCCCCCGTTACATAACTTTGGCACCATTTTATCTATGGCTGGTGGTATTTTTTGCCCAGCCACATAAGGAGGAGCGATTCCTTTTCCCCGTATATCCACTAATATCGCTATGTGGTGCCATTACCGTCGATGTGTTCCAGCGCATATTTTTCCGCCTCAAAACGCTGTTGGTTAAAATAAAAAACTCCAGCACTGCAACCCATTATTTGGACCACACAATGTTCATAGCCATAATTATTATGATTATAAGCACAGTTACCGGGCTTTCACGAGTCTTTGCCTTATATCGGAACTATCATGCTCCGATGGATCTAATGATGGAACTTAGTCAATTTAAAACATCCACTGAGTATAGAGAAAATCAGATCTATAATGTATGTATCGGTAAAGATTGGTATCGTTATCCCGGAAGTTTCTTCTTTCCGGCAACAAATTTTAGGCTTCGTTTTTTGAAATCGGAATTTAAGGGAATGTTGCCGGCCTATTATGCAGAGGGCGAAAATGCCACACAAATAATCCATCCATATTTTAATGATATGAACCAAGAGGATGAACGCATGTATTTTCCATACGATGATTGCCATTTCCTAATTGATTTTGATGAGGGAAAATATACCGAACTGGAGCCTAGCTATTCCAAACGAACCAAAGATTGGACGATAATGAAGAGTTTGCCATTTTTAATACAAGATAAATCGCATCGAATTTATCGGGCATTTTATATACCATTCCTAACCGACAATTATACCTCCTATGGCAGTTTTAATCTATTAAAAAGGAAGAAAATGAAATTGAGTTAGATTTAAGATCTAATTTATTTAAATACAAATCTGGCCAAATAAAAGTAAAAAGTTTAATTTATAACTGTATTTGTTTATATATTACAAAGGTTTAGCATCCATTTCAATGTAGAAGAATACAGGTAGATGCATCAACGCTTGGGAATATTGATATGTCAAAAAATCAATGAAATTTGAAAAGGTAAATTACAGAAATCCCAGAGATGGATGTTAATTTTTGAAATTACCTTCATAATTTTGTCGTGAATACAGGTAGATGCATCAAAGCTTTTTTTCCTATACGACGCCAATCGAAGGTTGTCATGATATGCAATTTTTTAACATTTTTTCCCATTTGAATAATTTTTTGTACAAAAATTGTAATTCAAAAATCGGTTTGACAGTTCATTGTCCCAGCAGCTGTGTCGATGCGACTACCTGTATTCTTCTACCATGCAGTCACCATAAATACAATTTAAACACTGTCCTATGATTCATCTTTGTATTATTGTAAAGTGCTTCACCAGTTTGAGCAATTATCATGAAAAGCTCACTATTCTGAAAATAGTTTTACTTTGTAATTAAATTAAACAATTTAATGTTTATTTTATATTTTGAAGTGCTGATATAAACGTACTGTTACAGGCATTATGTCGCAACAAACTAATTTCCGCTCCACAAAAATGTTGCCGTCGAAACAGTATTTTGTTGGTCTCGAATATGGCAACTCCCCACAATGTTCCGTTATTTTTACGATTATTAGCGTCGCAGCATTCATTGAATTAATTTTCTTTATAAAATACAGATCCAGGATAAGAATATGTTGGAAATTATATAAACAGTGCTACAGAATGAATGTAATACCGTCGCTAGAGTTGATTACAGATGGTGAAAAAGAAGTGGAACAGCAATCTATGAAACCAGAAGGACGTCGATTACGTAGCAGAAGCGTTTCCATCAATTCCTCGTCTGGAACCCCAACCAAGTCTCCAACACTGTTTATCAATTTGGATGACGTTGAAACACCAACAAAAACAAAGTATACCAAAACTCGATCATCAGTTGCGAAGAGAAGATTCTCGGAAAACTTGAATAGCAATGAAGAAGCACATAGTGCCACAGGTGGTCGTCGCCAGCGTTCTTCTTCATCATGTTGTACATTTCTTAAGGCCGATACTTCCTTTGTAGCTCAACAAGTTACTACGTCCACTAGTCAAGAACAAGCATCTACCGTCGATGTCGATGTACATGTCATATACGGAACCACTTCAAGTTGTTTGCTGAATGTGAACAAACAAAAAGTGATGGGTAAGCATAAAAAGTGATGTGACCACATTATTGTTTTGAAATAACAAAGCGCATACTGCACTTATTAGTTAGGAAAAGAACATCGAGTCAAGAGCATGTGATGTATTCCGTTTCGATTTGTTTACGATTGCAATAAAGTATTTTTTGACAACTTTTTAGAATTAATTATTAATTGCCGATTGGAATCTTCTATTTTTTGATTGTGCCTTATGACTTTACCAGAGTAGTTGGACTCTCCTTAAATTGACTCGGAACTCTGCAATCTTTTGCACACAACTGCCAACATTTAAATTTTTATGGTATAACAAAGTACCACACATCAGTTTTACTTTATGATAATTTTGGTTTTTTGGGAACTACTGCATTTTAGAAGGAAACCTATTGAATGTTTAATAAACACAACTCTAATTAATTTAATTTTATTGTAAATATTTCTAACTCTATATTTTAAAATTAAACATTTTGCAGCATCGTCTAAACGTAAGAAGAAGTCGCATAATACCGATAGTATGGTTACATCAACTGAACCTGGCTGTTCAGATACAGCTGCTGTTGATCAGCGTACTTTTGTGGTGCCGGAAACGCCTCCAAAGAAAGTTAAAAATCCTAAGATCAAAATAGAAAAATTGAAAACTTTGAAGAATGCTAGAGGAAAACTTGAGCTAAATAGTCCAAATGAAAAGATAAATAGGCGGGTGGTAAGCAAACGCCTTGCCAAGAAAACAACAAATAACGAAGTATGTAAATTTAGTTATATTTAATTGATCAAAATAACCAATTTTTAACCATTTCTATTATAGACGACATCTCGGTCAACACAAACAGAAATAACCATTAAGCTACCATGTCCAAGCTTTATGGACATTGGTGAATGTCCCATACAAATAATGTGTCCCTATTTACACTCCGAATTTCCGTGTAAATACTTTTGTATGGGTTTGTCATGTCCCAACGGTGATACTTGTCAATTTCAGCACAATTCTGAATTAAATGACAGCATGAAGAATGCGTTAAGGTATCACATAATGCAGTTGTTATTACAACCATCTGAAAACGGTGAATTGGATTTTATACAGCAAATCAATAAAGATGAAGTTTTCAAATTTTTGAATATCTTCAATAATGAAACGAGTTTTGATCAGCCATTTCACTTGGCAATGAAAGATCAAGAAGAAATTATTAAAAAGCTTACAGTGGAATCGACGACACAACATGAATTGTCAGAATCACAAGAACTAGCCTTCTTAACACCTCATCAGCGGAAGCTTTTGTATGATTATAGAATCACTACAAGAGATCGTCTTATGTGCCTTAGCTTGAAGCAATTACATGATTTGAATATAATTCATGGTAATTACGTATTTGATTTGATAGAAACTATCAATAGGAACAAAGAAAATGAAAGGGCACAACATATAATCGATGAAAATCATTCCATGGTTGCCTCGGAAGAGGTTATTGAAATTGATGACGAAGACTCCAGATTGATTATTGATGAAAACGGAGCAGAGATTCATAGTGTAAGTAGTAATATTGATTCATATATTATAAGAAAATCAAGCTCACATATGTGAATTTGTTTCGAATTTTTCTACAGGTACCCGAGACAACTGGAAATAATAACATTGAGCCAGACAATTTGGATGAGGGATGCCATTTGATACGCGAATTAGATGCAAAGAATCCAGAAATTCCTCAAGTCAAAGATGACACAATAATAAAGAATGACACAATAACCGCATCTAATCATACTTTAAATAACGACTGTATTGTCCTGCATGAGGACAATTCAAAAATGACCGATGACCAAATTCTTACTTCAGATAACATTGAAACCCAGTTTGATGTGGCAAATGAAACTGTGGATGATTTTACCGAGCAAGATGAACGTGTATTAGTTGTTTCACCAATACCAAGTGAAAAAGAAAATTGCAATAGTAATGATAAGAATTGCATGGCTGATCCAGTAGAGTTAGTCTCTAACGAGTTAAACAATTCGGTTAGTTACAAAAATGAGAAAACTATGCCTAACTCTAGCGAAAAAGATGAACTTTTAGTAGACTGTGTATTAAGCCCATGCGAACAGCAAACAATTGATGAATTTATTGTTCCAAGACTACAAGAAGAGACGGAAGACGACCTACACGAAGATGTTGCATCTCCACCATATGAAAACATTTCCCAATCTACGGAAAGTGCTTTGCAAACAGATGTTTGTAATGTCACACCAATAGGTAACGGAAGATGCCGTTTAAGGTCTGATCCTAGAATAAAAAATCTGGCTGCTCCTCATAGTCAGCCATCAGACGAAAGCAAACCATTTTTATCCGTGGATTATAAACCGCGGAAACTAAAAATTCATAAAAGAAAAGACCATCAAGCAAATAATAATCGGAAAAGCGATTGCGAAAAAGATTTGGAAGAAACAAGTTCCAAAGAAATAATAGTCATAAAAGATGCCAACGAAAATTCCCTGCAGGTTGAATTAAAAAATGCAGCAGATAATGTAGAAGCTATGATGTCAGCGCTATACAACGACGAAGTTCAAAACGATGATAACGTGACCACAGAATATTCTATCCAAGAGGATCTTTCCAGTGACGTAGATAGTAATGATCTGACAATACACAAAATAACTCAAACAACAAAGGGTCGTGGTAAGAACGAACGTAGCAAAATTGTTACGGTAAAGATGACAGCAGGTCTGCCAAAAATAAAACGATTAAAATCGACTAAAAATATTACTATAACAAAGGCAAATGTTAAACGGCGTGTGTCATTTGATATACATACCGACACCACAGGACAAACTCAGAAACAGATTATTGTTACCAACAACAAGTGCCAAAGAGGTAACATTTCAATTATTAAATAATTAATATACAAACTAAATAAGGATGTTATATTGAAGGAAAAAAGAGAGTAGGTCCTATAAATGATAAGGTAGACGACACATGTGTGACAACTCCCGAAAAAATAAAGAAAATTGATTCTTCCAATAACAGGGAAACAATGAAGGATAAATCAACTAATAACAAGAATGAGGATTTTGATGGTAAGTAGACGATGAATAAATTTAAAAATAATTTAATTTATTTGCTGTAATTCTCAGCTTCGATTTGATTTCACACTTTCGTCAAAAACTGAATCATGAACATTATTTATTGACTTCATTGTTGTAATAAAAAACCTTTTTGCTTTGTCTGATACAGATATAAGTACCACGGACTACAATTCTTCGAGTGATGAAAGACAACAGTCAAAATCAAAACTTCAACATGAACAATACCATAAATCCCAAAAGCAATCCTGCCAATCAACAGAGACTGATGAAGAGAATTTATGTTTGCAAAATGAGGAAAATAAAAAGTCAAGAAAAACTGTTACAAGCAACAAGGAAGACGAACATAAACAACATGGTCCTACATCATCCAAATCGAATAATAAATCGTGCTATGGTACGTATCGTCCAGTGTTTCTAAAGTAAGAATCTAAATTATTTGTTTCCATTTATGTATAGAAGTGAATTTACGTTCATCGGAACATGTGATTGATAACAAACAAGGGTCGCTCCAAGGAAAAAACGGTATTTAAGTAATAGCACCCTGAATTTTTGTGCTTCCTACTTATTCTATATTATATCTTCCTTAAATACTTTTTAGTACACCTTATCACAAGCGAAGGTGCTATTGTTAAGTACGATGCTGCTTCCAATAATGAGAATATCGAACAGGAAAATGACAATGTTGAATATTATAAATACTCGACAGTGTATGCCAAAATATCCACTAAAAAGATGCCAAAACTCCAAGTCGACTTTGAAAAAACACCACACAACGTAACACCAATAGCTTCACCAACTTATGATAACTTTGAAACCATTGCTAGTCCATCACCTGTAAGGTCGGATGATACAAGGGGACTGTTGGTTGCCACCACCGATTATCTGTGTGAAGAAATTGATGCGCGTTTAACATTTCCGTATATGCCATACATTGTAAGTATATAGCTATGCAACACCACTTACACGAAATGCAAGTAAATGGACATTACGAAAGAACTTTGCAAAGAAATTTGTATTGGAATTTATCAGCAAAACTAAATATAATTGCGCTTAAGGCAATTAACTTAGACTTTGTTTCAGACAATATGTTTGACGAAGGTCTTAAAATTAAAAAAAAATGTAAAGTAAATAACATAATTTACATTATTGCCCTGTACAGGGTGAGATGAAAAAATTGCAACCAACTTCAGACTGCTGTCATTTCTAAGCCACTCGTCCGACAGCTGTTAAAATTATTCCAGTGGCAGCTCATTATATTGTTTACAAGCGTACAAAAGCATTTTGGTGAAAATTTTCCAGAAAAAAAGTTATTCATGATGGAATTCAAGCGTGATAGTGTGATTTCTTTATATTTGACTGGAAAACCACAAATGGCTATCGTTAGAGCACTCCAGCATTTAAATGTTACTCCAGCATTTTGTGTCGCGTACCATCGCTCGTTACCGTGATGGCCATGGTGATGGTGTGGGCCGCCGTAATAGCTGATGGCCGCTCTTCGATCGTGTTAATCGACCGTGGCATCAAATAAATGCCGAATATTATCGCGAAAATATTCTGGAGGGTGTAATAAAGCCTTGGGCACGCAAACATTTTGGCCGCAGACCTTGGACATTCCAACAGGACACAGCACCATAGCATTTAGCACATACCACCCACGAATGGCTACAAAATTAGGTTCTTCGCTTCATTTCCATCGCACAATGGCCACCAATATCTCCGGATATTAATCCGTTGGAGTATTGTGTCTGGAGTATTTTGGAAAGCAAGGTGGGCACTAACAAATACCAAAGTGTCGATCACCTCAAGTAAGCGGTTCGCCGGGAATGGGTCAAAATACCGCAGAGCAACATTTGGGCAGCGTGTGACGGTTTCACAGGCCGTTTGAAGGCCATAATTCCTGCCAAAGGTGACCAATGCGAAAAAATCTAAACTTATTCTAAAATTTGACGCAATTTCCGACATTTTTTACTATCATTCAACAAAATTAAAAAAGTGGTGTTTGACTTTGTTGAAGTTTTTTTTTTATCTCGCCTTGTATTTTTTCATTTTTTTTATTTTTATTTCAAGTTGGGTAATGATTTCGTATTCTACGTAGAATCTAGATTTTATTTAATAGAATTTCTATATTCCATTGTTAAATTATTTTAGCTATATGAAGTAGATTTATCCGGTCTAACTGTAAATAAGCCAAATAATATTGATAAACTAGTGAAGACCACCTATTTGGATCCAAGGATATTTCGACGTGATACGAAGGTAAATTCGGTACTTTCAAAGAAGCGTTTTTTATTATATTTACTAAATAATTCAATATTACTTTCAGGCCATAGGAAGTAACATTATCCATCATCGTCAAACCCAACCTCAAGCAGCGACTTCTATGTCTTATGAACAACCAATAACGATGACACCAACAGCCGTACCTACCACGCCAACTTACCCCACATTTTCCCACAATGATCCACGAAATCGTACAGTGCATCAGGCAAATTCAATTCATGCACAAAAGTCCATGGTGTCTTATAATTCAAATCCATCCTTGTCGTCCGCCCCAGTCCCAACATTGGGTGCAATGCAGCCTTACATGCCCACATCATCTCCGGCTACCATAGATATGGTAACCACTCAAATAAAAACACCAAATATGATTTTATATGAAAGTATTCAGAGCTCCACCTGGTATCATAACCTAGCAAGTTCTCAGAAAATGCAAGTAAATCAAACAGTTACCCATTTGATAAGCGCTTTAAATAGTTTTCAAAGGGAACGACGTTTGTATCCCACCTTAGTTTTTGACATTTTCAAACTTGAAAATGCCATTGAACTCTTGGACATAATGAAAAATTTGGGATTGGCAATAGACATGGATGGTAATATTATTAAGCAACAAGTCGTTGTTCCAAGTTTTGCAGATGATTCATGCCAGGCTAAACGGGCCACGCAACAACCTTGCAATGCCACCTACAGCTTTATACAACAAGTTTTAGCTCCTTCAGCACAATGTCCATCCATGTCACGAATGTGTAATTCCCATGTTCATGAGCCATTCCTTAGCTGTTATGTTCAAACACCAAAACCGGCAGTCCCAACATGCTGTGGCCATAAGCATCAGCATCAAGAAGAACCAGTACAACAATGTGCGGTGGAGAACCCACCGTCGGAGGATAATAATAATGACAATCGTCGGTTTGGTGGAAACAACAATAACAATCAATTTAGAAGACCCTACAATCAGAATCAATCTCAGAAACCGTATAACAATAATCCCAGATATAACAACCCCAGATTTGTCAAGCCATCGTATGGTGGGGGAGCTGGAGGGGATTCAAATTCCCCTAACGAAACAACATCGCCACAATCACAATACAATGGTGGCGGTTTTGGTGGCGGAGGAGGACGTTTTAATCGACGAGGACAATATAACAATAACAGTGGTGGTGGTGGATGCGAAGGAGATTCTTGGTCATCTTCTACAAACTCTTTTAACAATAACCGAAAATTAAATAGAAACAACTTCCATAAGAATTCAAACTTTGAAAATAATAACAATACATCACCCGGAAGATCAAATTCATCTTCAGGAGGAGGAGGATTTGATAATGATTCGAAATGTGTGTCACCACCACCGAGGACACCGCCACGTTCATCCTCACCACGACCGCCAATATCGACCTCACCAGTTCTAAGCTCACCCGTAAAGCAAAAGCCCCAAGTCAGCACTGACGAAGAGTGTTGGGATTGAACAAATAACGGCAACATTTTGAATTGTAATAATTCATATTCATATAATTTTCGTTGAAAAAAAAAAATATATATTTCCAATTTAAACGTACTTTAAAGAAAAAGTATAAGATTATCAATAATTTTAATTTATTTTTTTTTAACTTTCCAAACAAATTTTTTTAAACTTGAATTAAACAAATATCGTCTTTATGTTCCTTTAATTTGTTTTTGCTTATGAATAAAAAGCATTTATTTTAAATACACAAAACTGTGTTTGGTGTTTATTCACAAAAGCAATTTCTGATAACATATCTTTAGAATGCGATTTTGTAAAATGAAATTGTATCTGCGATCACTTCAAAGACTGTGAGACTCAATTTTAATCATCCATCAGCAGCCACTGCCATTTGGTTCAAGATCGCTTTGATCTGGTTTTACTGTTAATGGTAGAGCAATTTTTTTGTAATGAGCAATATTTGTTAATTTTTTTCTTCTTTTATTTGTATCGCAAAGCAGAATAACTAAATTAGGTTGCATGCTGAATTTGCAATATTTTGAGTTGATGTTTTGTTGCTGTTGTTAAAAATGCTGTATGTACACTGTAGAAAATGAAGCAGCAAGCGTAAGAAGTGTCCAAAACTAGAAAGTAGATCAGAAATTGAAGCAGGGGAGATAATGAGCATAGCTGTCCACACTGTCTGATCATAATATTGAAAAATTTTTTCTCCCATTAACGTTGAAATAAGTCCCTGTTGTACCAAAACCCTTTTAGATATTTTAAATGTTTATGATAAAGAATCGTGAAATACTTTTCAAGCATTTTCATGGAAATCGTGGATTTTGTAATAATATTTTTTTCGTATTATTTCAGGACTTCCTAGACGAAAAATCTTACATTCTTGCAGAAATTGTTGTCATGGTATTAATATATGACTGATAGATTCATCAATGCCCAGGCGATGTGGCTAAAGCTTGAATCCTGAAATTTTGCATGTGGGTCAATGTTGGTGTTCAAGGGTGAGATAAAGCTGAGTTTTCGATATTGAACTATAATTGTGCTAAATCACTAGAAATTTATTCCATTGTATTAGCCAATGAAAATTGGAATGAAAGTCGTTAATTGGGTGTAGGATAGATGCACCAAATGTTTCTTGGTACCATTTGATATTATCTTGACATTTGGTATGAAAATTAAATTGGGGAAGTAGAGTTGACATAAGTAGGTGGTTTTAGAAATGTGAAATAAGAGTAGAATTGTATTAAATGGTAGAATGTGGGTTTAGGTGAACGGATAGAGCTGGAATTTTGAAATGTTGATATTGGTCTCACTGTTAGTATGTAGTATTGGGATTTTAAGGTGGTTTTGGACATGAGTACCAAGTGTGCGAACTGTGCTAAATTGGAAACAGTTTGATTTTGGGGTGAAAGGATGAAGCTGAAATTTTGAAATTTCGTGTTGGGGTCCTTGTCGTTGGTAGGTTAGTGATAAAGTGGTGGTTTTAAATGGTACTAAATTTGGAACAAAAGTGGGGTGAACGGATGAAGTTGGAATTTTGAAATTTCGTATTGGGGTCCCTGTCGGTGGTAGGTGTGTTGTTAAGAGGTGGTGTGAACTACATTTCCACTAAAAGTTATATATTTGGTACAATTTAGTATTGGGTGAACCCGCAGCGTTTGAAATCTGAAATTTGTTATTGGGTTCGCTGTTCATGTGTAGCCTTGGACATATGGAGGTGGTTGAACATATCGCTATATTCCATTCGGCAAATATGGAAAAATGAGCTCGGGGTAAGGCCATTGAAATTCCAAAAAATGCCAGAACTTACACTGCAGCAGAAAGAAAATAGACTCAAAACGGCTTCGCTTCGCCGAAAGTGGTGAACTGCCGAATTTGGTTTTCTCCGATGAGAAAACATACGTTTTCCAGCAGTTTGCAAACAAACAAAATGATCGTGTTTATTTGCCAATGAAGTCAGCTGAAAATGTGCACCTCCGGTTGGCCACCAGAACTCAAGCGCCGGTCATGGTGATGGTGTGGGCAGCCATAACAGTCGATGGTCGCTCTCTGCTCGAATTAATCGACCGTGGTATCAGAATAAATTCCGAATATGATCGCAAAAATATTCTGGAGGGTGTATTAAAGCTTTGGGCACGCAAACATTTTGTCCGCAGGCCTTGGACATTCCAACAGGACTCAGCACCATCGCACTCAGCGCGCGCCACCCCAGAATGGTTACAAAATGAGGTTCCTCGCTTCATTTCCAGCGCGTAATGGCCACCAAAACCTCCGGATACCAATCCGTTGGAGTATTGTGTCTAGGAGTATTGTGTCTATTTTGAAAAGCAAGGTTGGAACTTAAAAATACCAAAGAGTCGATCACCACAAGCAAGCGCTTCACCAGGAATGGGTCAAAATATCGCAGAGCAACATTCGGGCAGCGTGTGACGGTTTCATTGGCCGTTTGAAGGCCATAATCTGTGCCAAAGATGACCAAATCTAAACTTATTCTAAAATTTTATGCTATTTCCAACATTTTTTGCTTTCATTCAATAAAATTAAAAAAATGTAAAAATTATGGCGTTTGACTTTGTTGCAGTTTTTTTTTTATCTCACCCTCTATGTCTGTGGTTATGATATGGAGGTGCTTTTGGATATGTGATAGAAAAATATTAAATGGTATTAAATTGGGTATTGGGTAAATATATAGAGGTGGAATCCAGAATATTTGATATTGAGGTCTCCGTTGGTAAGTGTTGCAAAAGTTTAGGATGGAAAGATGGAGATCGCTTTGGATATTCGTACTAAATGTTACTGAATTTGGTATTGGGTGAAGGGATAGAGCTGGTATTCGATTAGATATTGAGGTCACTGCTGTTTTCAAGGGTTTGCATATAGAGACGTTGAGATAATTTTGAACAAGAAAAATTGGATGTGGGTCCATTTTCCAATGGTATTACCAATATCCTCAGCGGTAAGCTTTAAAATAAACATTTTGAGAACTTTAGTCCTATTAATTTTAACTATAGTCCTATTAATTTTTCATGTTAGGCGTTTAAAGAAAATATCTCAATTTCACAGTGTAGTGTTTATAATTTGAAAAATAACCAAAAAATCGAAAACTAGATATTCTCCAGACCATGAACATTTTTAATAAAAAAAAAATTGACCGAAGAGTACCGCTACCGTTTAAACTGTATGTATGGGTGTGTGTGACAAAATGTATACGTTCACTTGTTGTTTTTGTTGTCATTTAATATCAACGCTTTCTACATTTCACTGCGCTGCATTTGACCTTTGCCGAGACATGTCTCATAGATCATGGTGCGTGATTTAAACGATATTATCGCAATTGAGCGTTTCTGAAGCAAGTTATTTGATTCGTCCCTGATCGCAAAAAAAAAAACCAGAACGTCTACCAGGAAACGAATCGAAAATACAAATATTCAATTGAAACCCACAACCCGTTTTCTTATTTCGTTTGCAAGAAAAGCAAAAAACCAAAATTTGCCATTTAAGAATTTGGGTTACGAAGAAGTTGAAAAAGCGACAGCAAAAGAAAACGGTGAGAAAAAAGTGCAGAATTTCAGAAAATAATGGGGTTAGAAGAAATCGGAAAAAAAAACAAAAGTTTTCGTATCGAAGAATGCGGTAAAACTTACAACAGCGTATGCATTTTCCAGCTAAAGGGGTCACGGCAGATTGGCAAGTCTATATTTTACCGCTGTCTGGCCGATTGGAGCTCAGTGCGATTTGGCCAACGAAACGAAACGTTCAAAGAGTTTATCGAAGACAAAGTGATATTGCAACGAGGCAATAACGGTTTGATAACAAACGGAAACTATTTGTGCAAATATCCTTTCGAATTCAGCAAGGATTATACAAATTAGAAAAAAGGATAAGAAAGTGCCTTCCTCAGGATCCTGTAATTAATTTGTGCGAAATAACGAAATTGTGTTTAATGCCAACAAAATGAATTGGGTAAAGTGTTGAAGATCCTTAAAAAGGACACCAGAGTGTTAATATTTGTGTTTTAATATTTTTTCAGTTAAAATTCAGTTTGATTGCATTGATGATATCCTGTCACGATGAGTGTTTTGTGTCGGGTCAATTGAATACCAATTTACTGCCTGGGGGTCAATTAAACACCTCGCCCGGCAATGTGCCCAATTTTTTAACTCAGGTAGAGTTTCAACTACTTCTTTTCTCTGGAAAATATCAGTGACAATTCTTATCTTCTTCTTCTTCCTTCCTTCCAGTTATTTCAACAACCCTTGAATACCAGATTATCCTTTAACCCATTTCGAAGTGTTAGCCACAACATTGGTTATAATTTGGGCCAAACATTTGGTAGAAGTATGGATCCTTTTTCTAACTCATTTCCTGGAATAGGTCAACTTATGTCCTTTTGGTTTTCTCAAGCTCCCTCAGCGGCAGCCCAATCTTTAGATACCCAACCGGAAGCCTCCAAAGTTGTTTTGGTCTTGGCCAATGATACCCCTGTGACGTCGGCCCTACCCCAACCCGATGAGGAGACACTGAAACGTTTGGTCCGTAATCCAGATTTCTTCCAGGAGTTGTTGACACGCATGGAATCGATTAATGAACAGTTGACCACACATGTGCCCGCCATTACGCGTACCTTTGGCCAGGGTGTTAACGAGGCCCTTTCCCAGGCGCCCATCTTAGGCCAGGCCCAACAGTCGGGAGCCATTGATTACGCTCGCTTGGGTGAGGCTTTTGGTGAAACAATTCTGCCGCAAAACATGCTCGCCGGCATGGGCGAGGCTTTAAATATGACATCATCGGCGAATAACGCCACGGATTCCGAGACATTAAATGAAACGGAACCGCTTGGAGTTGATCTCTCACCCGAACCTGCACCAGAAAGTCCACCACCCTCACAGGAACCACAAGCTCCGGCACAGGCCCCACAAGGCTCCCCCTTCGGCAGTCTATTAGGCGAGAATCCATTGTTTAGAAGCTTCCAGCAATTTGTGCCGCCACAATTGCCCCCAGCTTCAGCCGATGGAATTCCATTCTCCTTCCCCTGGTTACAACAGGCCGGATCCCAAGGGGCTGCCTCTGACATATCGGAGGTGCGTGTAAAACCCGATACCCCAAATCCATATCGCATTTCACCCAAGGAGGCTGATATGACGCAAAAAATAAACGAAATGAAATTGAGAGCGGCCATGAAGGACGCCCTGACAAAGAAAACTATACCCATTCTGTGGTTCCGCATACCGGATAAAAAAGAAGATTCTGCGCGCCGCCCCGTCGCCTCCAACAGGGAAAGTGCCGTGGATGAGGACTTGAAAATGCAATTGAAATTGGAAGCATTCGAGAAACAATTGATTGACGAGCTGCATCAACTACAAGAGGTGGTCAAGCTGGCCAATGCCATGAAGAAAGCCCAACTCGAAAGCCGGGAAAAAACAAGGTCCGAGATAAACGAGGCCAATCTCAAGCCGTTGACATTGAACGAAACACCGATTTACAAAATCACCCTGGCCGACATTGAGCGTACGCTCAAGGATGAATATGTCCAAAAACTTCTACAGATGGCAGCCCAGAGTCGCAAGAAGGAGAAAGAGCAGAAGAACAAAGCCTTGTTCAACAAATATCCCAGTGAGTCTGTCAATAATCCCAACAAGCGTCAAACATCAGCTGGTGATACCGGCCTGGCGACCCTTGATCGTGACGATTTGATGAAAATGATGCTGTACGCTTATCGGACGGCCGCCCTCCAGGGTGACAACACGTCCTGGCTAAAGGAAAATGCCAACAACTCCAACAACATGGCTATGACATCGGATCGAGGTATGCAACAACGAATGCCGGGCCAGCCTGAAATGTCTGACGAACAGAAATGGATGATGGAAAAGAAACAGCAACAAGCCGCAATGGAAATGAATCGGGCTCGTGAAATGGACGAGGAGAAGAAGCTTAAGGAACTCACTGACCATTCGCATGACTCCCAACATCAACATCATAATCACCATCACTTGACTGGCCATCCGGCTGGTTTTGGCCATCCACCAACTTCGGGCGCCACAGCCAGGAACGAAGGACAAAATATGCAAATGCCCAACAATTCACCCACCATGATGATGGCATCCCAGGATCAAATGAGGCATGGTGGCGATAAGATGTCTGAAGATATGCAAAATTCATGGATGTCAGATGGAAAAACATCCGATCAACAAATGCGCTCCGGTGGTTCCATGCAAGAACAGAACATGCGTCAAGGTGCCTCCTGGATGCCCAACGAAAATGAAAAACAATTTCAAGGGCAACAGGGCCCAAAGCAACGTTTTGGAGAAGCTCCCAATGCGGGTGGGGAGATGACCATGGCACAATGGGCAGAAATGGTCAACAGTCCCAATATGCAAATGCGACAACAGCAATGGAGCCCTGCAACAGAACAAAATAGAGCCAACCAAAAGACAAATCCGCATATTCCCCTGCAACGTCAAATGTTTTCATCGTCCAAGGGGGATACTCCAATGTCGCCGGAGGAAAAGAAAATTAAGGAACAACAACAACGCTATATGCTGAATGTTGCCCAACAAGCGATCATGTCCATGATAAATGATGCTCGCATTCAGGAAAGTGCCGGCAAAGAAACAGAACGAGCCCAAACCACATCGGCCGATGATCGTAAAACCGAAACGTCCTCTCCCTCCTCGTCCTCATTTATGACTAAGGACGGCCATCAAATGACAAGCGAACAGCGTTCTGGTGCCCAATTGCCCATTGGAGCCCAGGCAATGCCACAAATGCCCGAAAATGCTGGAAAGGCACGTCACAAAGGTAATCTTTTTGGTGTATTCCGCCACAACAATTATCACATGATTAATCCTGATTCTTTCCATAATCATGGCCGTGCAGTGGTTGATGACTTTCTCGAAGAATTTGTTGGCCAACCTCGTCATCACGATGACAAATCGAAGGCAAAACACACTGGAGCTGTTGTCAATTATTACTATAATGCTGCTGCTGTGCCAAGCCGTTATCCACCCGCCTATGCCCCAGCTGCACCGCCAAGTTATAATTATGGTGCCGGGGCTGGTGGTGGTTATGCTTCAAGTTATGGTGGCGCCAGTAGTGGCTACTATGCCCCACCTCGACCCACACCTGCAACCCCATCATATACTGCCTCTCAATATTATGGTGGTGGTGGTTATGGTTCCAATGCATATGGCTCTGGCGGTGCCTATCGTACGGCGGTGGGCGATGCTGAAATCGAGGAAATGTTGAAAGAACATCAGACACTGCCGGTGAGTAGGCGCTGTACAATTAGCGAATTTTAATATTATTAAAAAGAATATCTGTCATAACCTCACTTTTTTCTGTCATAACCGATATCCACAATGAGGAGGTCACTTTCAATTTGCCGTTTAAATTTTTCAATAGATTCGCCTTCAAAAAAAGAGTATATATATAGTATGGTGCTCACAATAAGACCCAAGAGAAATGATTGGAATAGTTAAAACTTCGCACATCGTAGAATAAGTTCGAGCTCAAAACCTGGCTATATGATCCCACTCCCAAACAAACAGTCAACCTAATATCAGGATTTTTTTCCAGGACTTTCTGGATAATACTGTGGAGTTTTTAAACATTTCTATTCCTGGCCAAAAAATTTGATTGATTTAAAGAATATTTGGTTTAAAGATCTTGAATTTTGAAAACAAACGGTCAACCTAAGTTCGGGAAATTTTCAATATTGTTTTCCAGGACATTATGGATAATACTGTGGAATTTTTAAACATTTCTACTCCTGACCAAATAATTTTTTATTTTTTAAAGAGTATTTGGTTGAAGCATCTTGATTTTTGAATAATGGTTTCAAAACTTCCTGGCCAAAGTTATAATATCAAAATCACGGGATTTTCACGGAACTCCAGGCTAAAAATCCTGACTTTTTTAAAGAATTTTTCTCAGTATTTCCTATCCAAAATTGTAGATTTTTAAGGACCTCATGGCCAAAAATTGTCACTTTTCAGGCTGACATAGCCTTACTTTTTGGTTTACAAGAAGTAATTGAAAGCTTATGGTTAAATTTGAGGTTATGAACAAGGAGATTATGACACTTCTAATACAAAACCAACCCTCGCCACACCTTCTTTTCCTATTTAACCCTTTAATCACACCTCTAACCGCACTCTATCCTTTTGACAACTATTAAAATCTCACTCATTCTCATAAGAATTTTTCTTTATCTGCACACGACGGTGTAATTGCCCTACCCTCCATTGCCTCATGCACCAAATGTTTACCACCATCCAAAACCACCATCATCCAACATCACCAACATCCACAAAAAACTTCACTAACAGATGGTGACGCATTTCAGAGAATGATGTTACTCATACGGCCAGAAGATCCCCAACGCTTTCAAACTCCACCTGCAACTACAACCACAACAGACACAACTAAGACCAATACAACCTTGGATGCAACCAAAACCAACAATGGCGCCGACTTATCAAATCAAACAAAAAGGTTAGCCCATGATAAATATTCAAAATATAAAAGTTTTCTTGTAGTTGTAAGACCCCCACGTTCCAAGTCGGGACATCGCAGGCGCTCTAGGCGTTCTGCGGAATATGCCACTTTGGAACCCATAGATGAGACATCGCTAAGTGAGTTGAGAAAAACCTATAAGAATTCCTTGAAGGAAATCACCCTGAATCCCAATGAAACTCCGGAAGAGGCTTTGGAGCGTTATAATGCCGAGTCGATTAGAGAGGCCTTGGCCAAGGCCAATAAAGAGCCCATGGAAATATCAGCCGGGGATGAAACCAATGAAATCGATGGCAAAGATGATCAAAGCATATCGGAACAGCAACAACATCAATATGTCACCGAGCATAGGGGCCAGAATTATGGAAATATCCAACAGCAACAACAACACAATTTAGGTTTGCATTACAATGCATTTTTAACGCAGAACCCTGCCTCTTCGCCACCAACCAGTTTCCATCACATGCCCCGCCATCAGACCCAATATCAACATCATTTTGTCAATCCTTATCAGACCAAATCATCCTTGGCCCAAAATCCCTTTCTCTCGGTGGTCAATGCCTTTGAACCTGTTACAGTGGTGGATGATTTTGCAGTCACCACGGCCAGTCCTTATCAAATTCATACCGATAATGGTGTTTACACTGCCCTTAATCCGGCTAAATCAATTACCTATGCTGTGCCCTATGTTAAGCAGCCAGAAATCGGCAACTACAATATTCGAACAACACCTTTGACGGTGAAATTATCCGCACCCACACAATATGTAAATAGCTTGCCGAGGGGACGGCTATTTGAACATTCCAATAACATTCAGAAGTCTTCGGTCCACTATTCCCGCAACCACATTGACAAAGCCAATCATGCTCGCATCACCTACAGCCAAATAAATTCCGATCTTAACAAGGCCAAAGACTGTGGCCAAACATTTGATAATCTATTCGATGACATAAAGCAACGTTTGACGGAATGTTGTACCGAGTGCAAAGATAAGTTTTTAAAGGTCCTAGAGAAAGCCCTTCGACATTCCGATTGGACTCCATCATCATACCATCAGAAGGAGCAATATTCAAAACCGAAAGACGAGGAGGCAGAATTTCGAGATTGGCTTGAAGAAATGACCGAAAAGGGTTATGATAAAAACCATTTGACCAAGGAATTGCAACGGGACTATATGGGCCAGGGTCGTTATCATTTGGCTTTACATGAAAATGAAGATTCTGATGAGCTGTTGCATGGTCCAAACCAATCATTCAAAAGGGAAACAACAATTGCTGAAAGCGATGATAATGAAGAGATTATGACACCCGGGCCAATAAATCAAACTCAAAACGATGAGGAAGCAGGAGAAATTGACGAAGAGGCTCAGGAAGAGAACTTAGAGTCATCCAAGAAAACGGAAAATGAAACCCCAAATAAAAAAGATAAACTTGGGGATAAAACAAACTCCAATAAGATATCAAGGAAAGATATTATGGAACCTGCCGAGTCCACAACGCATAGTGTCTACGCCTTAAGGGGCAAATTTAAACCCAACAAACGTAATGTTATAACTGCAATACCCAGCAAACATCACGCCAAAAAGTTTGCCCATCACAAGAGTGTGAATAAAATGGGCCACCTTAAGAGAACCTCAAATGATATTCCAAAAAGTGAAACCAAAGAGAATTCCATAGAAAAACATAAAAATTTGGAAGAGGTTTTAGATTTCCTCTATGAACTTAGCAGAGTTAATAAGGAGAAACATTTAAAATGGTCGGCAGGAGATACGTCATCAACGACAACATCTAAAACGCCGGCTGATATGTCCAGCTCAACTACTGCAATCAAAACCACAGTTCAGCCTAATACCACCTCATCCATTGTGCCATCTTCATCGCCATCACCCGCCTCATCTTCATCCCCATCATCGTTGAAATCAAAGCGAAGAAAAATTAAATCATCTTCGAAAAAAGTTATTCCGTCCAAGGACATGGACCAGTTAGAAAACTGAATAAATGTCCTTGCGGGGAATAATATGTGTAGCCTTTATACCAGTATTTTTAGATTAGTTCATTAATCTGTTTTTATTTAAAAAGTAACTGATTTTTTTTTTTTGAGAGAAGTGAGGTTAAGTCCCCTATACGTGAGGTTATGTTTATTGAATTATAGATCTAACATTTTATGGTAAATAATTTAGCTATTTAAAATATTGTCCTGCAATAGGAACATTTGAAAATAGCCAAATTCATTTATTTTTATTTAAAAAATGAGGGGAGTGAGGTTATGTTTAAGCAGAGTGAGGTTATATCCCCTAAAAGTGATGTTAGGTGCATTAAAAATTGTGCATTAGAATTTCATTATACTTTCTTCAGACATTTAGGATATCTGACAACACAAGTCTTAAATTTTCTTGTAATTTTAGAGTTCAGAAACCAGAATCTCAATTCTTGTTCTATAAAAATGTGAAATGGAAAATAGGTTATTTTTATTTTTCTACAAATATTATTCTATTACATTTTCATAGAACAAAAATTAAGTCCCAAAAATAAAAATGTAATCAATAATAATAGTATACGTATATTCTAGGATAGTTTCCAAAAATAGGTTTTTGTTTTAAACAATAGAGAATACATTTTGTGGCCATAACCTCACTTTTTGTTGGAAAACGCCAGTTCTTCAACTTCATTTTTTTCAATAATTTTTGAGTTTGAAACCCACATTCAAAAAATAATGTACAACGGGGAAATATCCAGAATATAAATAAGGTTATGTTTTAAGCTTTGGTTAGAAAACATATTGTGACTATAACCTCATTCTTGCTTGAAAACGGAAGCAATCTCCTTTAGTATCTTTTAAATTTTAGAGTTTGAGAGTTATGAAAAACTAATCCACAACAGGAATATAACTGAATTCTATTACAACTTCTAAAAGTAAGGTTATGTTTTGAGCATCACATAGAAAACATTTTGCGACCTTAACCTCACTTTTTGAATTATTTCATTAAAAATCTGTTCTTTTATGACATTATTTGTTAAATTCAATTTAACTAATTTATTCCCATTTACATTTCATGGAACCTTAACATCACCGCCATTCATGTGAACGAACCATTTCATACTCATGCACCATGTTCATGCTCATGTAAACAGTAGTGCAACATTAAATCCATCAGAAACTGCCACAACATCTGAAACGTCGTTGTCTTCATCACAACCACCCTCATCATCGGATTCCTTATCAGCATCCTCATATTTGCATTCATCATCGTCAAATCCTCAATACCAAAATCTGGAAACAGATGAAGAACGTGTGGGATATGATCCAATATTGTTGGAACCATTTATGGGTCTGCAAAGTGTTGATCGTCAAGATGATCCATGGCGCCATAAGCCATACAACTTGTATCAGCCAATTTTTACCGGTGGTGGTACTTTCGAAGCATTGCTCAATCGTTATCGGCGAAGTGCAGCTAAGAGGCCAGAGTTGCCACATGTTCTCACACCGAGTATGTTGGAGCGATTGCTGCGTATTAAAGTGAATTTTGAAAAGAACTACCCGTTCCTCTATAAAACCATGATGGGCCACATGACTGGAGATAAACACACCACATTGAGCATAACACCACCGGAGATACCCAAACATGTTTCATATCCCAATGTGGAATTGGCTGCTGCTGAAATCAATCAAATGGAGAATTTATTAAGGGAATTAAAAACGGAAAAGTACAATCGGCAACAAGAACAACCAGCAACATTACAAACAAAGCCAGACCCTGAAGAACCTTCAACACGAGATCAACAACAGCCAGAGCAAACTTGGCCCAATTCCCAAGAATATCTAGACAATTTCGTCAATGAGGATAATAGCTTTTGGTATAATTTGGAAAAGAGACCAAATCCTCTGGAATCCAAAGAAACGCCATCATTACAGGAAAATAATTATTGGAATCAATTTCAAGATCCAAAGGAAACAAATTCTGCCCTGCGTAAAAGAGAAAGTTTCTGGCAAGCCTTAGAAGATGCCGAGGAGAGACAGAGCAGTGCCAAATATGAACGACAAATTGCCGATGATTTAGATCGCATTTTTAATTTCGATGAGGATGACACCAACTGAGTTTTTTTTATTGTGTTGTAATGCCATTTAGTTTTTTTGTTTGAAATTTCATAATTTTTTTATGTTAGTTGTAGTTGATTATTATTATTATTGCCTAAGGATATGATATTTTGAAATTATTGAAAAAAAAAAATATATGTACATAAATAAAAATGTATTGAAATGTGGTTTTTATGAGAAAGGGGATCCTTAAAAGGTCGAGTTTTGTGGGTAATGTATAATTTTAAAACTTAAGTACAGAAATAATAAAAAGAATGAAAAAATAAAAAAAAACTGAATATGATATTTAAAACATTAAAGAAGTTAAAACCATAGTAAAAAACTTGAAATCAAAATATCAGCAGAATGAACCGGTTTTTCCGACAGATGTAAACCCCAGCCTTGAGTTATGAACTGTTGACCCTTTATGAATGAGGTTCCGTAGCAGTAGGCCCATATTGACCAATTCGTATCTGACCTAAGACTGATATAAATATTACAACGTGCCAGATTTGGACTATATCGACTATTTCCTATACCTTATATGAGATATGTGCAAATTTTTGCAAAATTTGTAAATATGCGTGAGATACCAGATATAGTCGCCCGAAGTATTCCATTTTCATACTTCATCTAATATAGATAAAAATATTGGTATGGGCAAAGTTAGAAGAAAATCGAAAATGTATATCCAATTTTATGCGAAATCATAAATTCCGTATTCATCTCAGGTTTCTGCATGAGAGAAATGTTCAAGTGTAGAAAGTTGTGAGGACTCGCTGACTTGTTTCCCAAGTTATGACAAATAAAAATATTTATATTTGTGACCCTTTGTGGGTGAGGTACCGGAAGGGTTTCGCAGATACAGGGTGAGATAAAAAAAAACTGCAACAAAGACAAACGCCATAATTTTTACAATTTTTTTGTAAATTTTATTGAATGAAAGCAAAAAATGTCGGAAGTAGCATCAAATTTTAGAGTGGGTTCAGATTTGTTCGAATTGATCACCTTTGGCACGAACGCCCAATGAAACCGTCACACGCTGCCCGAATGTTGTCCTGCCGTATTTTGGCCCATTCCCGGCGAAGCGCTTGCTTGAGGTGATCGGCACTTTGGCATTTTTTAGGACCAATCTTGCTTTTGAAATACCCCAGACACAATAATCCAAAGGATTGGTATCCGGAGATTTTTGGTGGCCATTGTGCGCTGGAAATGAAGCGAAGAATCTCATTTTACAACCATTCTTGGGTGGCGCGTGCTGAGTGCGATGGTGATGAGTCTTGTTGGAATGTCCAAGGTCTGCGGCCAAAATGTTTGCGTGTCCAAGGCTTTAATACACCTTCCAGAGTACTTTCGCGATAGTATTCGGCATTTATTCTGATGCCACGGTCGATAAATACGAGTGGAGAGCGATCATCGGCTGTTATGGCGGCCCACACCATCACCATGGTCGGCGGTTGAGTTCTGGTGGCCAACCGAGGGTGCACATTTTCAGCTGTTCTCTTTGGCAAGTAAACACGATCATTTTGTTTGTTTACAAACTGCTGCACAACGAATGTTCTCCCATCGGAGAACACCAAATTCGGCAGTTCACCACTTTCGGCCAAGCGAAGCAACTCTTTAGCTCTTGTGAGCCTATTTTCTTTCTGTTGCGGTGTAAGTTCTTGCACTTTTTGGAATTTCAATGGCTTTACTTTGAGCTCATTTTTCAATATTTGCTGAATGGAATATAGCGATATGTTCAGCTTACGAGCCACAAGTCGCTTCTTTACTTTTCGAACCATTTCTACTGATGTTGCTGTTTTTTTCCGTCCATTTCCTTGACGTCGGGCTATGCTACCAGTATCAAGGAAACGAGCGATGGTACGAGACACAAAAGATTTAATCACATTTAAATGATCTAACGATAGCCTCTTGTGGTTTTCCAGCCAAATATAAAGAAATCACACTATCACGCTTGAATTCCATCACAAATAACTTTTTTTCTTTCTATAATGAGCTGTCACTGGAATAATTTTAACAACTGTATGACGAGTAGCTTAAAAATGACAGCAGTCTGAAGTTGATTGGAGTTTTTTCATGTCACCCTGTATATGGGAGCTACATCTAAATTTCAACCGATTCTCACCAATTTCAATGGGGCTCGTCCTTGGGCCAAACAAATATTGCTTGGAAAATGCCATCTCGATAGGATAATGAATGTGACCCGCATTTTGTCCACAAAAATATATATACAGATGGTGGGACAGACGGACTGACATGCATAAATCGACCCAGAAAGTGTTTCTAGAAGATCCCCAAAAGCAAATATGGGTCTATCTCGGTTCCTTCTCCAAGTTACAAACAAATGCAAAAATACATAATACCCTTACTACTATGTGGTGTAGGGTTCAAAAAAGGCCATTACAAGCCAAAAGAAGCATCTAATTACGAACTCCACCGATCCACTTACCAGGAATCTACTTTAAAATAAGTAACAAAAGATAGCTGCACATCGAAACAAATGCAGCATTAATATTTATAAAGAAAAATCCAGATTCCAACTTTTTTATAGTCAGCGGTCAGTAATGCCGTTTTTTTGTAAATTATTTACATTTAATAAACTCAAGCATTTGGTTAGTGAATTAACAACATAGTATAAACAACAACAACAAAGAAGTAACCATGGATGGGAAGGAGGGGTGGTGGAAGGTAATCCGCTCATGCCACTTAATTACAAACAAAAGAAGAAATTTGTGCATATTGTATGCTAGTTATTTTTGTTGTAATGTGCCTGTGTGTGTGCGGTATGCGGGGCTTACTACCATTTAACGATACTCGAAGGACCATTAAGGGGCATAAAAGTAAAACATGAAGATACTAAATGCACACTGACAAAATTAAAGTCAAAACTCTGACTACACCTAGACTCAGCTCCGAATGCAAAATCCTATTCTATAATCCGGTCTTTACTTATCGGCACGAAATAGATAAATTTGGTCGAGTAAAATATAGTAGCGTGGTTCCCAACATCTGATTGGCTCAATAATTGATTTTGAAAAATTGCCTTCTAATTTTTATATTTTTACTATTTTCCGCCTCTAATTATGTTGTACAAAGCTATATTTTCCGACAAATTTGAAATTTCTCTCTATGACCATTTTTCCAATAAAAAGTATGGGAACAGAAAAATTATATATATATTATATGTGGGATAACCATTTTTTCGCTCTGTGTACCAACTGACCATTGTTTATGAAGTGAGAGCGTTTTAATTGGTTTAGCCCAAGCGAATGGGGAGGGGTAAAATTTATTTTGCAGCCGAATTGCATGCATAAGCAAATGTTGTCCCTTTTTTGTCCTGCTTCGCATTTTATGTTTGTTGGTCAGCACATAAAAAGGACGTGTTGAAATGTTATTTCCAGTTATGAGCAAAATGAAAACAAAATGGATTTTGTCCGAAAGTGTTTACAGATTTGTTAATACATTTTAAATCCGACACGTAATGATGAAAGAGATGCAGTGTGCCATTGAGAAAAGTGAGGAGTGGGGGGTTAACCATTTTATGTTTAAAAAAATAACAACTTTTTAATTATAAGAGTCCACTACTTTGACGGTGAAAAATCTGCCTGAAAAATAAAAAATAATTTTTATAAACCTTTAACTGCCGAGTTTAAATTTTGGGACGTATTTTATGACGTGGCGGTACATTTTTTTATCGCATGAGATTTTTTCATACTTGACTTACAATATTGAATTTTACGTTTGGTAATATTTTTCACCTAACTACACTATATTTTGGGGGTATTATTTTCAAGTCGGAATTATCGACTGATTCTCAAGAAATTTTACATGGGGATAGAGTTAGGGTCAGAATTAAAGCCTATTGTTTTTCTAGATGTATATTTAAGTGTTCAATTGGACCAAAAATTAAATCTTTCCACAGGTCACAATTAAAAATCAATCGACACGGAATTTTGAATGAGTTTAGGGTATAGGACAGCGCAGACGTGTAGAATTTTGGATGACCTTGAATTATACATAGCGGGTAAAATAGACAACAGCTTTTGCGTGAAATTATTTTGGATACCTATCAGCACGACATGGAGGGTAAATTTAAAGAAAATATCCGCGGTGAAAAACCAAATGTAACATTAGTTACCTGAATTAAATGTGTCTGGACCTAAGGAGGTTTTCCAATAAAATAGCGTTATGGGGTATCACATGGTCGGCAAGCACGACTATAGCCTTTGCTTAGTTGTTTTTATTTTGATTTGATTTCAAATTTCAATTTCAATCCAATTTAAACACAAAATACCAAGGAACATTTCTTTATTATATATATATTATAGTACGAACTAGAAGTCATTTTCGAGCCCCTACAATTACCTCCTTATACCAGATATACACACGGAAGCATTTATCTGCTGCGAATGTTATCAAATTTAGTGCTATTTAATAATATTGTTATTGTACCAATTTAAAACATTTTTGTACCTATTGTACGAATTTTTAAAACCAACTTCCTAACTGAACTCTACACCCAAACAGTGATCCTTATTTTCTATTCAAGTTTTTAACACGGTTATATGTTAGTATTTTCGTCCACTTTTAGTACGAAGTTCCATAAACTATTTTGCATATCCCCAAAAACTCCATTATTGACCCACGTACCAAATTTTGAAATTTCTGCCACCCTTTCCTTCCTTGAATCTCAATGGTACCATACTTTTTGTACGAATTTCGAAAAATTCCGTCTTATGTCACATCTGCGTAGAAAGAGTGATCCCTATGGGAAATTTAAAAATTCTGCACATTTTGTACCTTAGAGTTCAATATATACCCTTAAAGTACGAAATTTCGAAAATCTATTTTGATCTTAACCATTTACGCAAAGTATTCTTATCGACCGCTTAATAACAATGTCGAAATATTTTGTATCTTTGAATGCAATTCGTCTACTAAAAGTACGAAATTCAGAAAATGCTGCCTTATTTTACTCAAGTTGTATTTTTATTCTAAAAGTTTCAGGTTATATCGACAGATGTAAAATAAATGTACAACATTTAGTACTTTTTGTACCTTTTACTATGTTTCGTACGAATTTCTAACAATCTCATCTGATATCGTCTAAATG